AAAATCAATAATAACGGAGCCATAGGTATCGAACGATATAACAAAAAAACCGTTTTTGCGAGATATCTAGTTAGCCATGCATTTCATCCAACAAACAAAAAGCTCATTAAATTGAGTTCATGAAACTGCAATTCTTTCCCTATTTAATCATCTCTCTATCTCTGCTAGTTTTCGAGATCTCCATACTAAACATGGAAAAAAACTCACCCTGTATATAATTTTCGTTAATTTTTGATGTTCCAATTTTAGAACACTGGGAGTGAAAGGGTGCGGTGTCTAAATATTGAATAAACAATAAAATAAAAATTAAAGTAACGATATTAATTTTCTTCGACATGATAACTCTTAAAACAATGATCATGAAGGTTTACAACACATTTCTCGCACATATTCGTAGCGTTTTTGTGGCAGTGTGCGCAACGATTTTGTTTTTGGGCCGGCATTATCCAATAGGTTTGTTCGTTGGGACTGCACTACTCTGCACGACATGGCACTAGTATGACGTCATAGTGCTATTAAGTGTAAGTAAGTGCAATGTCATGTCAACTGAGTGCAGGTCAGAAAAGTGTATAAACTGTGGTCGCAACGAACAGATTTTTATCAAAAAAAGTGTATAATATTTGAAATGGACAAACAGGAGATTGTCAGCGAAATGGTCGCGGAACATGAAATCATGACAGAATGTTTTTTTAGTAGCGATTCATCAATTATTATTATATTATTACATAAAATATAAATTATATATATATATATAAAATTATTACAACTAATTACATAAAAAAATGTGAAGTAATATAATATATGTCTAATGTTTTGCACAAAATTTTATAGTAATATTCTTCTTTAAAGTCCTAATTTATATGAAAAAAAAATGATTATGAATTTAAATAAAGTACTGCTTCCGTAGTACTACTTCCGGTTGACGAATTTAATTCAAATTTTGACGCAACATTATCCTTTTGGTCTTATAATCATATGCCAAGTTTCATAAAGCTAGCTAATTGCTAACAGCAAAATAATATTTTCGATCCGGTTTTCTTGCCGCTCGGACCACTGTGTGTCATTTTCTTCACCCCTCTTTCAAGAAGGATTTTAGCACCCATGTCAATAGCAAATACTTCCGTCTGGAATACAGTACAGTACGTACCCAGGCTTGCTTAATTCGAGGTGTCTGGCAGTATACTCCTGCTCCTACCCCTTCAGGCGTTTTTGATCCATCTGTGTACAAGCAAATGTCTGCCTGAACCAGAGAATTTTCATTTTCGATCTAGGACTGCCGCTCAGGCAGTACAATCTGGTATCGAGCATTAATCACTGATTCACTACCGCCAAATCTGACGGCATTGATAGCACAGTATCAGGACTTATAATGTCTTCCGCAGCCCATTGGTAGGGCCTGTGGGGACAGTTTTGAGCATATTGCTTAAATCTGTAAATGGTTGTTCTAGCCACTTTCTCTATATGCAAATGCAGAGCAGATAGGCCAAGCAGATAGGCCAAGCAGAACCTCCATTTCCAGAGTTGGCGTTGTGCTTATCGCACCAGAGATTGCCAATCCGGCTACTCGTTGAATTCGTGATAGTTTGCTGATAACTGAAGTCTGTCGGACTTTCCTATACCAGGCTGCTGCTCCGTATGTGATCATAGGTCTAACCAGAGTCACATAGAGCCAGTACAGTCTTTCAGGGGTAAGACCACAAGGATAGTCTAGCTTTGTGCAAAACTCCCTGCAAATGTCCATTCCATGACAGGGTTTTGTCTAGGATTACCCCTAGATATTTGACTTCCTTTGAGAAAGGAATTTCTTCACCTTGGATAGTTGGGCGAATTAGTCCATCCAACTTTCGTTTCCTGATTAAGGGCACAACAATTGTCTTTTGCGGATTTATCGAGAGGTTTTCTCCCTTACACCAAGCGCAAATAGTATCTAGGGTCACCTGGAGGACTTTAGATATCCTCGACAAACAGGTTCCTTTGACCATAACGACAATGTCATCAGCATAATCTTGTATTTCTACACCAACGGCTTCGACTATCGCAATCAGATCGTCAACCAGGAGGGACCAAAGCAGGGGACATAACCACCTCTCGGCCGGAAGCGTATCGTATCACCGTGGAGTGAAGTAGAAACTATTCTACTATCAAGTATATTGCGGATCCAACCCGCTATAGTTGCTTCCACTCCCCTGTCAAAAGCAGCTCTTTCAAGAGATTGTGGTATTGCGTTGTTGAACGCTCCCTTTATATCCAGAAACGCACAAATCAAGATTTCTTTATCCTGCAGCGTCCTGGATACTCTACCAAGTAAGTTGTGTAGAGCCAATTCTGCTGATTTTCCCGTTTGATAAGTATCGTAATGGATCATACAAGCTCCATATCTTGTACCCATATCTAATCGATTTACTTTTGATGAACTGTTTGACTCCTTGTCGACCAAAATAAGGAACCATCTTTTCGTCAACGATCAGTTTTTCATTTAGGACTGCATGTGCTAAATAACGTTTGTTAAGCATGTCAAAAAGAGGAAGACACACAGTTCTATTCCTCAAATCATCTCAAATCACTGTTACTTTTGCAATTTTACTCTAAATCTTTTTAACTTCCGCTTTTGCTGTTTCATTGAGTGTAGTTAGACTTGACTTCTGCACCACACATCTACCTGTGGTCTTCCAAACTTGTAAGTAATATTTTCTGAATCATTTCAAGTAAAACTCATATTTTACATTTCCCAAGTTAGGGTATTTTTCGAAATATGTGACTGTAATAGGATAAAAAAGAAGAATTTTGGAAATAAGCAGATTTTAATCCTACTTTTACATCCTTAATTGCCCGATATACAATGCAATTTGCAATTATGTTGATTTTTTTATCATAGAGTGTTGAAACCAGAAAGCCTCAGTTGATGACACTTTTGAAATCAAGAAACAATTAGTTCATGAAGATGATGAAGAATATCCTTTATGCCTTCTCTTATTGGAATATGTGTTGTAATTTTTTATTATTGAATGATATATTTGATAAATATTGTGACGTCAAACCTGTTTCTTCTCATTCCATTTGCGACCATTGGATTGTATGTATGACTGTCAGTCTCCCACAGCATACGCCATCGAGGAACTTGAAGATGTCTTGACAAGAATTTGTTCTATATGCAACAATAAGCTCACTCATTCAGCTATACGATAAGAATCAGAATTCATTGTATGACTACAGGTGTAAATATCTACTATAAAATATTTATTTGAAATATCAGTAAGTAAGTACAATTGGGTCAGAATGGAAGGGCGTTTTTGAAATGAGAATAACTCAGCTGTTGTTTAATTGACAAAAAGTAAAGTTTAGATGTTAAATTATCCTTATGAAAATATCACCAATTATTAATTAAAGTATCCTCTTTTTAATGCAAAAAGCCGTTTTGAAAAATCACTTTTAGTTCTCGAGAAATAAATATTTGAAATAATCGACAATTTTTTCGAATTTTGCAATTTCCGCCGATTACGTTTTAAAAATTCGTATAAAATCCATTTCTTGGAATATGAGTTTGAAAATTTCCCAAAGTGTTAATAAAAGTGTCTTCTCCCCATGAACCAACCCGTTTTGAAAACTAGCTTTTAGTTTTTGAGAAAACAATATTTGAAATTTTGATAAAATTTTCGATGTTGCAATTTTCATCGATAATTTTCAAAATTCGCTATAAAATTCATTTCTTGAAAGATCCTTGTGAAAATATTATCAATTATTAATTAAAGTATCCTCTTTTTAATGCAACAAGCCATTTTGAAAAATCACTTTTAGTTCTTGAGAAATAAATTTTTGAAATAATCGACATTTTTTTCGCATTTTGCAATTTCCGCCGATTAAGTTTTAAAAATTCGTATAAAATCCATTTCCTGGAGTATGAATATGAAAATTTCCCAAAGTTATAAAAGCATTAAATAAAAACATTAATATTATTTATTTATAAATTAATTTATAAAAATAACAATAAAAAAAAATGTTGCTAAGCATCCCTGGTGGGGATCGAACCCACGACCTTTGGATTAGAAGTCCAACGCGCTATCCTCTGCGCCACAGGGACTGCATGTATATTGGTCAATGATAACCGTTCATAACTTAATTCAATATCAAAAATTATGGGTTGATTAAAACTTAAACTACTACTATTAAAACAAAAAAGATAATTATGTAATTAATTGTAGTGGTGTGAACACATTTTTTACTTCTAAATCCTTAATGAAATTAAAATACTAATTTTTAATAAACAATTCTTTTATGTAAATCTCGAGGCATCGCGAAGTTAGTAACAAAGTAATTTGACATGACGTTTATATATTTTTGACACTAAATAAATAAAAAAGAAAAGAAATAAAGAATAAAGAGAAGTTAGTTATGAAATGAGAGGGATTTCGGTTATGTTAAAAAACTAAATATCATTAATTATTAATTTAAAATTGATAAGTTTTTTAAGTGATTTTTTTATAAAAAACTAATTTTTAATAAATATTTCTTTTATGTAAATTTCAAGACATCCTGAAGTTAGTAACAAAAAAAAAAGGAAATAAAGAATAAAGCGAACTTAGTTATGAAATGAAAGGGATTATTAATAACAAAACTTTATTTAATTTTATAATTTTGTAAATGTTTTTTATAACAAAACTAATTTTTAATAAATAATTTTTTATTTAAATCTCAAGACATCGTGAAGTAGAATAAAGCGAAGTTAGTTATGAAATGAGACGGATTTCGGTTACGTTAAAACCTAATATTTTGAATTATTAATTTAAAATTGAAAACTTTATTTAATTTTATAATCTTGTAAATGTTTTTTTATAAAAAACTCATTTTGAATAAATAATTTTTTATGTAAATCTCAAAACATCGCGAAGTGAGTAACAAAGTAATTTGACGTGACGTTTAAATATTTTTGACACTTTGCGTTTCGTTTAACTTTAAAATAATAGTGTGCCAAAAACAATTTTCACAAAGATCAAGATATACGTGAATAAAAAACCAAATGACTTTCGGGTAACCAACGATACGACGTTTACCATTTCATGTTGTATTTTTAAATCAAAAACAACAAAATCCGTTTGGTGTCGTCGTTAGTCTGGTCTAAATTTGCAATTGTAAAATGTGTAAAGTGTAACAACTGATGAAAATGTCGGTTATATTAGCGGGTTTGCGTAGGAAATATCACATTACCTTTAGATACGTTGTGCGTACGTTAGGGGGAGTACGAAATTTCAGTGCCGAAGGGACTGGGCAATGTGACGATAAGGTAAAATTCATTAATATAATTCAATAAATAACCAAAAAGGAGTCCGTTTTTGAAGGACCAAACCAGATTGTTCTTAAAAATGGCGCTCATTTCTTTTTTGGTTACAGAAAGGTCTAATTGTCGGCGTATACCATAACGAAGAAACCGCGGAACCATGTTTTACCCCATCGGGACAAAAATACAATGATAAACTTAATGGGAAACTCTTCGATCTCGTTAAAGCGTAAAAAAATCCATCAAAGTCAAAAACGTCATTTTAATATTTTTTTTTTTTTAATTGTTAGTGCTGGTGGTGAAATAAGACGCGGTGGAGCTCGTGTTTTCAACAACATCGACAATGAATTTTGGTCGGTTGCCGTCGTTGGATTGGGCAATGAAAAACTCGGTTATAACGAGCAGGAAGCAATTGATGAGGGTCTTGAAGCGACCCGTGTCGCCGCTGGTATCGGAGCCCAACGTTTGTTAAGTGAAGGCGTCAAACGGATCATGATTGAAGGTCTCGGACATCCGGAACAAGCGGCCGAGGGTAGTGCGCTCGCTTTGTGGCGATACCAAGATAATAAATCGCGAGATCAATGGATTCAAATTCCAACGTTGGAGCTGTTTGATGAACCCGACGCCGAATCTTTTCAAAGGGGCCTCTTTAAAGCGGAATGTCAAAATTTAGCGAGGAGATTAAGCGACACCCCCGCTAATCAAATGACTCCGTTACATTTTGCTCAGGAAGCTGTTAATGAGTTGTGTCCTTGTGGTATTAAAGTTGAAGTTCACGATAGGTAATTATTAATTTATGTTACAATATTAAATTTGTGTTTAATAAAACTTTAGACACTTCGAATAAAATAAAAAATTGTTTTTTTAGGGATTGGATTGAAATGAAAAAGATGGCTGCGTTTATGGCGGTAGCACGTGGATCGTGCGAACCTCCTATTTTTTTAGAAATCAGTTATTGCGGTGGACCCCCGGATCAAAAACCTTTCTTGATAGTCGGAAAGGGAATCACCTTTGACAGTGGTGGTCTCTGTATCAAAACGTGCGCAGGAATGGATATTTACAGAGCGGATATGTGTGGAGCTGCCTGTATTGTAGGGGCGATTAGAGCTGCCGCCGCTTTAAGTTTACCGATTAATATTAATTGTTGTATACCGTTGTGCGAAAATATGCCCAGTGGTATGGCGATGAAATGTGGCGATTTGGTGATGGGACTTAATGGAAAGAGCATTATGATTGAGGACACCGATAATGAGGGGCGATTAATTATGGCGGATGCCCTCGTTTATGGGCAATCCCAGTACAAGCCGAGATTAATTATTGATTTGGCCAGCTTAACACCCGGTATTCGTTCGGCTTTGGGGGCTTCAGCTTCCGGCGTTTTTTGTAATTCTCAAACTATGTGGTCACAAGTAAGAAAAGCTGGAGTAATAACCGGCGACAGAGTATGGAGAATGCCTTTATGGAAATTTTACACAAGAAAAGTAACCGATTATCACTCGCACGATGTAAATAATCGAGGATGGGGTTACGGTGATCCATGTTTGGGAGCGGCGTTTTTGAATGAATTTGTAAATTGTGTCGATTGGATTCACTTTGATATAACTGGTGTCGGGATGTTGTGCCATGAAAAAGTTTATCCTTATTTGACGTCTGGTAGGATGACGGGAAGACCGACGAGGACGTTAATTCAACTGTTGTATCAACTGGCGTGTCCTCAACCAGAAAAATAAAATTGGAGGCTCGCTTTAAAAACAAAAAAAATAACTGTTAGTTGAGTATCGTGTGCGCCTGGCTCTGACTTGTTCTTTTACAATAACGTCTAAAACAATTTAACGCAAGCCCTTCAATAACAAATAATTTTGCTATCTATCTATTTATCTCTACTCATCATCTATTAAAATTTTACACATTCCAAAATACAGCATCGCCACTAAGTTACCTCTCAATCTTTTCTTTTTCGGTCAGTCTCCTTTCCGTTCAGTGAAACACGTAAAACAAGCAGTGAATTTTTAATACTTTAATATTTTTTTTAGGTCTTTTTGATTGTTTCTCAATCTTTAAATTCCCAAGTTTGAATTTAACAATAATTTTTTATTACCTTTTTTCTTTTGTGGGTTCTTTTTTTTTGCAAGTGCACGAGTGATTGTAAGTGGGAGACTTGAAAAAACAGGCAGACTGGTCACCTGCCAAGTTTAAACCGGTTCTAACCTCATCTTTGGGGCGGCCTGTTTAAATTCTTAAATCTTCTCAGCGAACATTATCAATTTACAATATTCCTATAATAGTTTTTTTTTCTCTTTTTCTCTCTGAACTGGATTGCAATAAGTACGGTACGAAACAGCCTGTACTATTATTAATTTTTAATATAAATTTCCTTTTTTTCAATTCGGCCCATTTAATATAATTTTCCTGTTGAAAATTAATTATTTTTGGCTCCGCGTTTTGCTTCTCTCTGAAACCCGTTCCCTTTTCTCTTCCGTACCCCACGCACTTTATTACAATACCTTTACACATTTTACACATGATGTCTTAGTTTTTTTTATATCTATACCGTCGAGCTAATATGTTTTATTGGGCTAACGGGAAAATTGGATGTTTTTTTTAATTTTTTTTTTACATAATACATATATTATTATGATTTATTATAAAACAAAATGATGCTAAAATAGATGGTGAAGCAGTATAATTTCTGTCTTTTATTTATTAATTTTAAACCATTCAATTAAAATATTTCAAAATAGAATTAATTGTTAATATTAGTTAAGTAAATAATAGTGATTTTTCAAAACGGCTTTTTGCATTAAAGACGATACTTTAATTAATAATTAGTGAATTTTCCATAAGGATCCTTCAAGAAATTAATTTTATAGCTAATTTTGAAAATCGAAAATTTTATCAACTTCAAATATTGCTTTCTCAAAAACAAATTTATTCTTCAAAACGGGTTGGTTCATTGAAAAGAGGACACTTTTATTAACACTTTGGTAATTTTTTCATACTTATATTTCAAGAATTGGATTTTATATATTAAAAATTTATTTCGAGAACTAAAAATGATTTTTCAAAACTAGACGAAACTGCAACAAGAGATTTTATATATCTTGTTGCAGTATATAATTTGATTATTATCTGCAGTGTCCAACACCAAAAGAGATACTAATTCCTGTGAATGGTGGAGTACCAAGTAAGGTAAAAGCACTACTTGACACTTTAAAGATTTATTAGTCTGTTTGTTGAACAGTGCTTGGACTGAACACACTTTAGAGGAAACTTCTAATTAGTGATAGCTGCACAAACTATTCCCTATTATAATGTAACAAGAATTACATTAATAAAATCACTATGATTTTTTNTGAGTTGTGTCCTTGTGGTATTAAAGTTGAAGTTCATGATAGGTAATTATTAATTTATGTTACAATATTAAATTTGTGTTTAATAAAAAAACGCTGGGTCTAGGTACACGCTAACATGTACGCAAATTAAAAAATTATATACACGCGAAAAGTCAGTACAGCTATGACGTCACGTTTAACGTGCTTATACTGAATATTATTCGGTACACGTTAATAAATTGGAAGTTTTAAGCTTGTATAAGTATTGTCGATTTATTTTTAATATCTTAAGTTTATAATTTAATCATTCACTTTCAACAAAAGAGCATATTACATCGCACCCCGCACAGTGTTAGGAAGATAGAATATCTGGCCAAAGATCTAATTACAACTAAATGAAGTTGAAAATGTTAGGATCAAAGAAATTGTATATATAGAAGCCGCATCGCCTATGTTCGCCCGTATACCGTATACATTTGTTTGCAAACAAAATAGACCTTGGTCCTAGCGATAGTGGCGTGTACGAATTAGATGAAATTGGTCAGACTTTATCCAGTGGCGTATCCAAAGAGCATCCTAATTTCATATATAAAATTACAATCACAAATTAATTGTTAAACTAACTACCAATTGAAAAACTATTGCCGTAATAATTTTATAAATTGTAGAATGATTTTTTTTTCTATATCTTTGTCAGGTTTTATTAAGATTTTGAAGTATTAAACACAATAAATATAATTTTGTAATCTTTTAAATTAATCAGAGGACCTAGAAACAATATACATACTTTGTAAACAAAAATAAATAGTGGTATACTAAATGTATAAATATATATAAATAAAAATGAAGAAAAATGAATCGAAAGAAGAACGACTTTGAAGATTTATTGATTCGCAAATATGATTCGTTATTTTAGTGTATGTCTTATTCTAGGGGCTAAAATAATATTCGGGAGTATTCAGCGATAATCGGCCGATGGTCCGATCTGTGCACGTTCATTGTTTCAACTGGTTTGTAGCGACGCTACAGTAAACAAACCGCGTGTTGCGTTGGCTTCAAGTTTTAATGTTTACAACTGCTTCTATATACACAATTTCTTTGGTTAGGATTTATTTCATCTATAAACGATTTTGAAACGAATATTTGAAAATAAAAGCGAAACAAAGGTTTTGTTGTGGGTTGGGTTGGATGTTTAAGCTAATGTAACTCCGAAAATATGGTACATTTATTCATGTACCCTAACAATAAGTAATATACCGGGTGTCCCTCAAAAGTGGCTCACCCCCATATTTTTCTTTATTATTGGTGATAGAAGAAAACCATTTGGAATGCATAGTTAGGTCGCTAAAACGGATTATTACGACATGAAATCATTCTTTTTGTACTTCCGGTTACACCGGATGTGAGTACTAATTTCGCTATTTTTTTAAATCTATAATTTTTTTTTCTTCATTTGGGTAGACAGTATAATTTCACATAACTTTTACTTGAAAAAATTTTCACGATCGCTTATAATTTTTGAAAAAAAAAAATTATTTTCGTTATTTTTTAACGTTTTAGTACCTTCGGAAAATGTATTACAACTTTTGACGCATAGTAGCTAGGTTAATAGTATAAACTACGTTATGTCCTAACTATGGATTCCAAATGGTTTTCTTATATCACCAATAATAAAGAAAAATATGGGGGTGAGCCACTTTTGAGGGACACCCGGTATACTTATATACTATAATATACTATACTGGGTGTCTCACGTAACTGGTTCGTTAAAACTTTTTAAGGTTCACTATTCATAGAGGTTTGAAATTTTGGTAGCATAGGTTGTTCATTCTGAACTTACATAACTTCGTTGTTTTAAACGCAATGCTACAGTTTTTATTACACTTTTTAATTGTACATAAAAAAATATGTTGGCGAATAAATGGCGAACCTGTGCTACTTTTTTGTGAAACTTACAATGGCGCAAACCAAATTTTCAGTGTTTCAAAATTTACGATATTCAGACACCTCCTGTATCTCTGCTATCCGTAAACGTAAAAACGGGTTCTAATAGATTTTTTCACGTAGAATTTTTCTAGCCATCACGGTTTTTGAGTTATAAACACAACTCAAATACTGAATACTCAACTTCTAAAATACTCAGCATCCTCGTTGTCGAGAAGCTGGATGGCCTCGATCTTCTCATCTTCTCATGTTTAGATGCGAATGATGCAATTTCTGATGACACACCGATGCTACTTTCAAATCGCGATGGAGGTTCTTGTTTCTTACATACCAGGGTGCATTAACTATGCACCTTAGTACTTTGTTCTGGAATCTTTGAATCAGGTTTGCATTTGTCTTGCAGGTACAACCCCACAATTGGATTCCGTATGTCCATTTTGGATTTAATACTAGCTTGTATTTTATGGATAGCGTTGATTTTATGCCAATAAGCCAATATAGGTGTCTAAATTTGATATCAAGTTCCTCGCGTTTTTTTTTTGACGTGAGCTTTCCATTTGAGTTTGGCATCCAGCGTCATAAAAAGATATTTTGCGGATTACATTGCCATTTATGTGTACTTATAAGTAAAGTTTATGTATGTCGATTTATTTGTATTTAGTTTTATTAGCCATCGTTTGGTCCAATTTTCTATTGAATTTAATGCCAATTGTAACTTATTTGCTGCTACTACTTCATTTTCTGCAACAGCCAAGATCGCTGTGTCGTCTGCGAATGTAGCTGTCAAAGTTTCTGGTAACTGAGGAAGATCGAATGTGTAGAGTAAGTACAATGTTGGGCCAAGCACACTTCCTTGAGGAACTCCGGTCGTATTTCATGTATTGGTGAATAAGCGTTTTCGTATTTTACTCTAAAATATCGATCAGAAAGATACGATTTTAATAGTTGAGTATAAGTTGATGGTAGTATTTGGTCTAGTTTGTAATTTCTAACCAGACTTTGTCGAAAGCTTGTGCAACATCCAAAAATACGGCGGAGCAGACTTTATTTTCTTCCATTGCTATTTCGATAGTATTCGTTATTCTATGCACTTGGTCCATTGTTGCATGTTTATTTCGAAACCCAAATTGATGGGTTGGTATTAAGACTTTTTCTTCTAAGACAGGTTTTAGTCTTTAATAGTAATTTTTCAAGCAGTTTTGATAGTAAGGGTAATATGAGATTGGCCTATATGATGTAACATCTGTGTGGGGTTTACCAGGTTTTGGTATCATTATTATTTCAGCAACTTTCCATATGCTTGGGAAGTATTTCTGTTTAAAAGCAGCATTAATTAGGTGTAATAGTTTTGTAATCGCCCGTTTTGGTAGATGTTTCAATGTTTCTCCATTAATTAGGTCATAGCCCACTGATTTCTTTATATTTAGTTTTTGTATTTCATAATACAGTTCTTTCATTCTTACACATGGTATATTACTCTGCTGATCACTTTGAAATACGCTCTTAGCATAGTTATTGAACTGTCTGATGTAAATGTTTCTTTCAGAACAAATTAACTTTTTCTTGATTGCTTTTAATTGAATTGGAGGTGTCGTCAGTAAGGTGTTTTAAGTACTTTTGAATATTATTTTCTTTGTGGCTATTTGTTAATGCTCTTAATTCTGCTGTTATTTTATTTAATTTAGTTTTATCACTAGGAATTCTATTGGTTTGCCATTTCTTTCTTGCTTTCCGTTTTTCTGTAATTTTGTCTTTAAGAATTTAGGATAAATATTAGACTTAGTTTTTGGTGTTAAAATTTGTGTTGAGGCCCAAGCTGCGTTTTGTATGTCTTTTAAGAACTTTTCTACTTCATTGCCAATGTCTTCGTTTGTTTTCAGCATTAAGATGAATTTTATTATTATCTAATGTTACATACTTTGTTATTTAGAGTAATAATTACTGGTGAGTGATCTGAGTCCAGCCCTAGCTCTTCTTCTATGTTTACGAAGTTAAGGTTCGGAATTTTACTTTTATCTGTTGGCCAGTAAGTTGGCTTCCCAGTGGAGAGCACCTCATAATTTAGGGCCTCTATTGCATGGTTCAGTTCTCATCCTTTTGTATTTATCAAGCGAGAACCCCAAGACATATGCTTTGCATTAAAGTCTCCTCCAAGTATAAATTTGTTGTCGAGATGTAGTAGAATTTCCTGATAATCTTCTCTTTTGAGATTATGGTCTCGGTGGTATGTACGTTGCTCCTACAGATATTAAGCCATTAGCAACTTTTACCACTGTAGTTTGGTGTTGTTCAGTACTAATTGTATTGTTCAAATAGTGGTCAACATTCCTTTTAATAAGAATTGCACTTCCACCTCGAGCCGCGTGTAATGGTTGATGTTTATATACGATTCTCGTGTAAAATGAGTTTCGGAGATAAGACATATATCAATATTGTTTTCTTTAAGTATTATCGGTAGTGTGTTTTGATGTTGTCGAAGACCATTGGAATTCCACAGCATTATCTTTAGTTGCTGCTTTTTAGACATTTTGATTTGTTTTTTGAATCGCTCCTTGGTTTAAATTGCTTTCAATGAAATCTAGACGAGCATATAATGTTTTTATTATTTCTTCTTGTTGAAGTATTTTTTCTAGTATTAGATCTAATTTACTCTGTAGTTTCACCACTTGCTTTTTCGGCATACGAGATTTACTGTTTTCTTATTTCTGACGGCTTGTAGTTCCTTAATCACAATGCATCCTCGGTAGTTCGCTGGATAATTTTCTCCACAGTTGAGATATTTGGCCGGGATTTCTTTGGCTTTAGTGCATTCGGATTTTTGTGACAGTAAGCTTTGGTGTGACACCTTTTGCACTGGGGCATTTGTTTTGGCTTTCTGTACTCTTCGATTTTGACACGCATTCCTAATATATTTGACCATGAACGCAAACGTATTGAACCTCATAATATTTAAGGTTTTGGTTTAATTTACACTTTAATATTTTTGTGCTGCCTCAATCGTTCTGCTGCCCTTAATAACATATTTTTGTTTGTTTTTTTTTCTATTTCATATTGTCTCAAACTTTTAATGAAGTCATTATAAGAATGAAATAGTTGGCCACATTTCATTTTTAATAATCTTTAACAACTAAATATGTATCGTTGTTCGAAACAACATCACTTTCCATCACTTTGTACTTTCCAGAGAACATTCGACACCGATACCAACATCAAAATTATTAAGTTCTAATGTAATTTTTAGTACTGTTTAGGCGTGTACGTAATTTTTAGATTTACGTACACGCTAGCGTGTAACTAGACACTTCCAATAAAATAAAAAATTTGTTTTTTTAGGGATTGGATTGAAATGAAAAAGATGGCTGCGTTTATGGCGGTAGCACGTGGATCGTGCGAACCTCCTATTTTTTTAGAAATCAGTTATTGCGGTGGACCCCCGGATCAAAAACCTTTCTTGATAGTCGGAAAGGGAATCACCTTNTTTATTGAACAGTGCTTGGACTGAACACACTTTAGAGGAAACTTCTAATTAGTGATAGCTGCACAAACTATTCCCTATTATAATGTAACAAGAATTACATTAATAAAATCACTATGATTTTTTTTATACATACAGGTGTCCAATTAGTGCGATATCGGACGATATCTCCTTACAGAGTGTCGCTAGAACAAAATGTTTATATATAAAGTTGTTTGGTGCTCGAAAGTGCATAACCTAAAAATATTTTTGTTTATACAGAGTGTTGCAAAAGCAAAGTACAAGGTACAACTTCGTAAATTTAAATTTAATACCTCATATTTTATTACATTTTTAAATTACCCATAAAATTCGACATACTTTTTGTTAAGCATTATCTATACCAAAATTTTACCGTTTTTGAAATATTCAACATTTTGTAAAAAAATCTCCGTCTGCACGTGTCTATAAAAGAAAGCATACCCAATTTATTTAAGACCCTACAAAGCAAATCTTTTGTAGATTATTAATGCATAGTTACAGTAACTTTATGCCTCTATAAAAATCTGGTAACCTTGTACTCAATACCAGAAACTTGAAATAGCTATATCTAATTTTTTTTTAATGGAATGCCTCATATTTTTTTATCTTAAATTATTCGCCAAGTAATAAGGTTTCTTTTTTATAAAGCATGTCTTATACCTATTGTCCTATAAATAACTTGATAACTATTGCAAATATGGGGTGTTCCATTTAAATTTACGAAGTTGTACCTTGTACTTTGTTTTTGCAACACTCTGTATAAACAAAAATATTTTTAGGTTATGCACCTTCGAGCACCAAACAACTTTATATATAAACATTTTCTTCTAGCGACACCCTGTAAGGAGATATCGTCCGATATCGCACTAATTGGACACCCGGTATAAGTATATATAAAACACACTGGGCCAGTAGTTGACACCAAGCGAAAACGAGAATATCTTGCAGTTGACACTCTTTATCTTCAGTAGTTGACTTATGCTTTAAAACAAAAAATGGTTTAAGTAATCAATTAATGCAAATTTTTATAAAATGGTGAAATTAATTCAGCCCTACTTAAAGGACTACTACACAGAATGTACTTAAAGAAAAATAAAAAAAATTTATAACTTATAAATTTATTGTCAATATGGCACAACACAACTTCCCATTCATATTCTAATTTATCTACTTTTTCTGGTTATTTCCAGAGTCGCCCAAATTTTTGCAAACATCAGTAATAACTCTTGGAAATAATTCTCCTTAGTAGGAAAAGACTACATACTCTCCTAATTTTCTCTCCACTGTTTCTTTCAGGTTTCTCTTCTGCATGTTTTCTCATCTCTACATTCACTTTTACTGTTGGATGGCATCTTATCCATATTTGAGTCAGAACTGTCTTCGTGTTTTTTTCAGGTGGCAGATTGTTATCATCAATTTTATGATTGGTAGACTCGTATATACGAGCAGGAGTTAGTGTTAGAGGTAGTAGTTCCCCATCCTAACTGCTTTTCTTAGGCTCATCGGTAGGACCAAGAAAACTACTTTCTAGTTGTAGTTTTATGTTCTGCCACAGTTCAAAAAGTGATATACCTTTTTCTTCCAACAAACTCGAAAAAAGTATTGCAAGTCATCCAACCAAACTCTGTTTTTCCTAGGCCCCACTTTGGAGGGAATTTCATGCGGGATCCTTTTATATTTAAACAAAACTGTTGGGGGAGATACATTACCAATTAGGTTATTTGTTGAATTATGTGTCGCCATCTATCATTTATTAATTCAACTTTATTTCATACTTATATTAAATATTAGAAATACCCAAAATAGTAAATACCCAATTAAGCATAAATAAATAGATTAATTTATTAATTAATCCATATTAATTTGTTAAAGAAATCATTAAGAAATCCATAAAAAAATCAAATTTTGACAAATATTTCTTAATATTCCAGTCCCTGTGGCGCAGAGGATAGCGCGTTGGACTTCTAATCCAAAGGTCGTGGGTTCGATCCCCACCAGGGATGCTTTATAACATCTTTTTTTACTTAATTAAAAACACATCAAAATAAACATTTTAAAAAATAAATTAAAATCATCTTGGATTTTTTATTTATATAATTATAACAATTAATTTTTATTAATTATAATTCAAAAACATAACCTCAAAACGAAACGTCATAATAAACAACATAACCTAAGAAAACGAAAAATTACAACCAACAGCTTTTTAAAGTAAAATGACCGAAATAAACGAAGCAAGAAAGAATTTGGAATCGCAACTTGGTGAAGAATTAATGAAACAATACTTTGCGATATTAAAACAGTGGTTTTTATTCAAAGAGCCGATTTCTCGTCTTCAATTTGATAGCGCCGTGCGAAAATTAATGAAAACTGAGGAACAGATTCGTAGTCATAATTTATTTTTATTAGCCTTAATCTCAAAGGTAACTTCATCAAGGGTTAAAAGCACACGGAGTATGACCGATAAAGGAAGTTTTGAGCTTGCTGATTACACTCCGTTAAGTCCGGTGATGATGCCCCCTGATTTTGAAAATAGGAGTGCGGCAGCGGAATTATTTCTCCCTGACAGTGGGTTTATTAGCACACGAATATCAATTCATGCCTGGGAGAATGGTTTAGAAGGTGCTGATGAAAATGTTGCTGAATATTTAGTCCAAGCTTGTCAGGTTTTTGTTAAAAACATTATTACAGCGATGATTACAAGAAAAGAAGGTTATAAGATAAGGGATGGGAAGTTTCAACACACTTTTGGTGTTCCCGTTCCAGATCCATTTGCAAGAAATAGTAATAATATCATCGATAGTAATCAATCAACTAAAATTGATGTTGTTAATGATGATGATAGCTTTATTCCAATTCCAAGAAATAGTGTTGAACATGCTGAACAAGAAGCTGCTTTTTCTTATTCTTGTAGCAATAAAAGTCGATCCGATAATAAATTAACCGTTAAATTATTGTATGATACTTTAAAAGATAACGGAAATATTGTTGGATTACATTCAATACATAGCTTAAATTTATTAAGAATAGGAATGTATGTTAATGATTCTTAAAAGATTAATTAATAATAAAATTTAAATATAAGAATAAAATTGATTTAATCAAACATAGATGGCGCTCACCCCACAATTTTTTAGACGCTAAAATCATAAATTAAATCATAACTAACTGATTTAAATAAGAAATGTCTCGATTATCGCGTTTTCTTCAATTAAAGTAAGGATAAATTATTAAAAGAATTTATTAAATTAACAAAAATTACTTTGTTGTAGGCACATAACCTATAAATTAAACACAAGATTTTTAGCAACAACTAAACTGGAACTTTTTTAATTCCAACTTCTAATATGGGAAAAAATGTTTTGGTATTAAGAATAGGAATGTATGTTAATGATTTTTAAAAGATTAATTAATAATAAAATTTAAAAATAAGAATAAAATTGATTTAATTAAACATAGATGGCGCTTACCCCACAATTTTTATACGTTAAAATCATAAATTAAATCATAACTAATCGATTTAAATAAGAAAAGTCTCGATTATTGCGTTTTCTTCAATTAAAGTAAGGATAAAGCATCAAAAGAATTTATTTAATTATTAAATTAACAAAAATTACTTTGTGTAGGCACATAACCTATAAATTAAACAAGATTTTAAACCCACATTATAAATTTCATGATGACCCTTTTTTAATTCCTACGTCTAATATGGGAAAAAAGTTTTGCTATTAACTATAGGAATGTGCGTTAATGATTCTTAATAGATTAATTAATAATAAAATTTAAAAATAAGAATAAAATTGATTTAATCAAACATAGATGGCGCTTACCCCACAATTTTTATTCATAACCTAAAATAGCACAAAAATGACAGTTACGAATAAACCTGGTATCAATCTTGGCCAAGCAGTCTTTTGAAATCTGTGTAATGCTATACCAATTTATAAAGGATACAGGATTTGAGGTGTGATACTAAACTGTGATCTATAATCTCTAAAATACTAATCTGTGAGTACAAGTTAAGAATTTATCCTAGAGAAACTATGCAAGTTTGTGATAAAGCTATAGGAATATTGAGATATTGACTAGTAGATTAATGAGGCTGTGATGATTCCCACTTAGAACTACCACTAAATCCTAAAAGATACCATCAAGATTTCTTGTTCTAACCTAGTACTAAGAGCTCTCCTAGATTTTATTTGTTTTTCCTGTTTAAGCCGAATCACTGAGCCCCTGGCTCGCAGAAGAAACCTAAGATATGTTAATTCATTGTTGTCTGTAATTCTCTCTTAAATAATAATACCATGGGGCAAAGAAAAGAGAAGGAGAAAACTGGAAACGAGGCAAAGTACCTGAATGAATCCAAGCATTGCAAAGGAAAATTAAATAAAGAAGAAAAATAACGAATGGTAAATTAAAAACAAAGAAGAATAAGCACAGGAAATGAATGAATTAAAGTAAAAATAGCAAGTTGTGACACTAAAAATTAAAATTAAATGGACCACCTATATATGAGTGTAAGGATTGAACCCAAGATAGAGGGAGAAAGGCATATATTGACGTAGCAACTAGAGTATGAGATGAACTGCAACTTATACTTGTTTGACAACCAACCATAACCTAAAATAATCTACACAATGCTAAAATCATAAATTAAATCATAACTAAGTGATTTAAATAAGAAATGTTTCGATTATCGCGTTTTCTTCAATTAAAGTAAGAATAAACCATCAAAAGAATTAATTTAATTATTAAATTAACAAAAATTACTTTGTTTTAGACACATAACCTATAAATTAAACAAGATTTTTAGCAACAACCCCAAAAGATGAAATAATAATCCCTAAACGTATAAATAGGGGCCCTGCAGATATATCACAAGCCCTCGAAGTTACAATAAAACGAGATAAATGATTCTTAAAAGATTAATTAATAATAAAATTTAAATATAAAAATAAAATTGAATTAATCAAACATAGATGGCGCTTACCCCACAATTTTTATACATAACCTAAAGTAATCTACACAACGCTAAAATAATAAATTAAATCATAACTAATCGATTTAAATAAGAAAAGTCTCGATTAATGCGTTTTCTNATTTACGTACACGCTAGCGTGTAACTAGACACTTCCAATAAAATAAAAAATTTGTTTTTTTAGGGATTGGATTGAAATGAAAAAGATGGCTGCGTTTATGGCGGTAGCACGTGGATCGTGCGAACCTCCTATTTTTTTAGAAATCAGTTATTGCGGTGGACCCCCGGATCAAAAACCTTTCTTGATAGTCGGAAAGGGAATCACCTTTGACAGTGGTGGTCTCTGTATCAAAACGTGCGCAGGAATGGATATTTACAGAGCGGATATGTGTGGAGCTGCCTGTATTGTAGGGGCGATTAGAGCTGCCGCCGCTTTAAGTTTACCGATTAATATTAATTGTTGTATACCGTTGTGCGAAAATATGCCCAGTGGTATGGCGATGAAATGTGGCGATTTGGTGATGGGACTTAATGGAAAGAGCATTATGATTGAGGACACCGATAATGAGGGGCGATTAATTATGGCGGATGCCCTCGTTTATGGGCAATCCCAGTACAAGCCGAGATTAATTATTGATTTGGCCAGCTTAACACCCGGTATTCGTTCGGCTTTGGGGGCTTCAGCTTCCGGCGTTTTTTGTAATTCTCAAACTATGTGGTCACAAGTAAGAAAAGCTGGAGTAATAACCGGCGACAGAGTATGGAGAATGCCTTTATGGAAATTTTACACAAGAAAAGTAACCGATTATCACTCGCACGATGTAAATAATCGAGGATGGGGTTACGGTGATCCATGTTTGGGAGCGGCGTTTTTGAATGAATTTGTAAATTGTGTCGATTGGATTCACTTTGATATAACTGGTGTCGGGATGTTGTGCCATGAAAAAGTTTATCCTTATTTGACGTCTGGTAGGATGACGGGAAGACCGACGAGGACGTTAATTCAACTGTTGTATCAACTGGCGTGTCCTCAACCAGAAAAATAAAATTGGAGGCTCGCTTTAAAAACAAAAAAAAATAACTGTTAGTTGAGTATCGTGTGCGCCTGGCTCTGACTTGTTCTTTTACAATAACGTCTAAAACAATTTAACGCAAGCCCTTCAATAACAAATAATTTTGCTATCTATCTATTTATCTCTACTCATCATCTATTAAAATTTTACACATTCCAAAATACAGCATCGCCACTAAGTTACCTCTCAATCTTTTCTTTTTCGGTCAGTCTCCTTTCCGTTCAGTGAAACACGTAAAACAAGCAGTGAATTTTTAATACTTTAATATTTTTTTTAGGTCTTTTTGATTGTTTCTCAATCTTTAAATTCCCAAGTTTGAATTTAACAATAATTTTTTATTACCTTTTTTCTTTTGTGGGTTCTTTTTTTTTGCAAGTGCACGAGTGATTGTAAGTGGGAGACTTGAAAAAACAGGCAGACTGGTCACCTGCCAAGTTTAAACCGGTTCTAACCTCATCTTTGGGGCGGCCTGTTTAAATTCTTAAATCTTCTCAGCGAACATTATCAATTTACAATATTCCTATAATAGTTTTTTTTTCTCTTTTTCTCTCTGAACTGGATTGCAATAAGTACGGTACGAAACAGCCTGTACTATTATTAATTTTTAATATAAATTTCCTTTTTTTCAATTCGGCCCATTTAATATAATTTTCCTGTTGAAAATTAATTATTTTTGGCTCCGCGTTTTGCTTCTCTCTGAAACCCGTTCCCTTTTCTCTTCCGTACCCCACACACTTTATTACAATACCTTTACACATTTTACACATGATGTCTTAGTTTTTTTTATATCTATACCGTCGAGCTAATATGTTTTATTGGGCTAACGGGAAAATTGGATGTTTTTTTTAATTTTTTTTTTTACATAATACATATATTATTATGATTTATTATAAAACAAAATGATGCTAAAATAGATGGTGAAGCAGTATAATTTCTGTCTTTTATTTATTAATTTTAAACCATTCAATTAGAATATTTCAAAATAGAATTAATTGTTAATATTAGTTAGGTAAATAATAGTGATTTTTCAAAACGGCTTTTTGAACCTTCAAGAAATTAATTTTATAGCTAATTTTGAAAATTATCGATGAAAATTGCAACATCGAAAATTCTATCAAAATTTCAAACATTGTTTTCTCAAAAACAAAGTTATTTTTCAAAACGGGTTGGTTCATTGAAAAGAGGACACTTTATTAACACTTTGGTAATTTTTCATACTTATATTTCAAGAATTGGATTTTATATATTAAAAATTTATTTCTCTATAGTTGGTGTTATTTTCATAACTTAACATTTTTACTTTTAAACAATTAATTTTTATTTTCAATTATTTATTCAAATATTTCTATTACCTAAATTTTGGTTAACACAAATTTTTTTTACCAGTATTAGATCCTAACTCAACATTAACAATGTATTACAACAATATTAAACATTTTCGACCCAATTCCACAGGAATCAGATTTTTGGCCATATACAGGGTGGATCAGTTTTTAATCGGGAAGCTTTACTAGGATGTAGTACTTGCCAAAATAACACAAGTTTTTTATATAAACATAGGGTCCCAACTCTTTTGTTTTCGAGCTATGAGCTGTCAAAGTTGAGCCAAAAATTTACATTTTATCTTTTATTTCGAGTATAAGTAAACCATAGAANTAACCTAAAGTAATCTACACAACGCTAAAATAATAAATTAAATCATAACTAATCGATTTAAATAAGAAAAGTCTCGATTAACGCGTTTTTTTAATTAATGTAAGGATAAAGCATCAAAAGAATTAATTTAATTATTAAATTAACAAAAATTACTTTGTTGTAGACACATTGATCATAAATTTCATGTTGACCCTTTTTTAATTACAACGTCTTATATGAGAAAAAGAAGTTTTGCTATTAAGAATAGGAATGTACGTTAATGATTCTTAAAATATTAAATTAATAATAAAATTTAAATATAACAATAAAATTGATTTAATCAAACATAGATGGCGCTTACCCCACAATTTTTATACATAACCTAAAGTAATCTACACAACGCTAAAATAATAAATTAAATCATAACTAATCGATTTAAATAAGAAAAGTCTCGATTAACGCGTTTTTTTAATTAATGTAAGGATAAAGCATCAAAAGAATTAATTTAATTATTAAATTAACAAAAATTACTTTGTTGTAGACACATTGATCATAAATTTCATGTTGACCCTTTTTTAATTACAACGTCTTATATGAGAAAAAGAAGTTTTGCTATTAAGAATAGGAATGTACGTTAATGATTCTTAAAATATTAAATTAATAATAAAATTTAAATATAACAATAAAATTGATTTAATCAAACATAGATGGCGCTTACCCCACAATTTTTATACATAACCTAAAGTAATCTACACAACGCTAAAATAATAAATTAAATCATAACTAATCGATTTAAATAAGAAAAGTCTCGATTAACGCGTTTTTTTAATTAATGTAAGGATAAAGCATCAAAAGAATTAATTTAATTATTAAATTAACAAAAATTACTTTGTTGTAGACACATTGATCATAAATTTCATGTTGACCCTTTTTTAATTACAACGTCTTATATGAGAAAAAGAAGTTTTGCTATTAAGAATAGGAATGTACGTTAATGATTCTTAAAATATTAAATTAATAATAAAATTTAAATATAACAATAAAATTGATTTAATCAAACATAGATGGCGCTTACCCCACAATTTTTATACATAACCTAAAGTAATCTACACAACGCTAAAATAATAAATTAAATCATAACTAATCGATTTAAATAAGAAAAGTCTCGATTAACGCGTTTTTTTAATTAATGTAAGGATAAAGCATCAAAAGAATTAATTTAATTATTAAATTAACAAAAATTACTTTGTTGTAGACACATTGATCATAAATTTCATGTTGACCCTTTTTTAATTACAACGTCTTATATGAGAAAAAGAAGTTTTGCTATTAAGAATAGGAATGTACGTTAATGATTCTTAAAATATTAAATTAATAATAAAATTTAAATATAACAATAAAATTGATTTAATCAAACATAGATGGCGCTTACCCCACAATTTTTATACATAACCTAAAGTAATCTACACAACGCTAAAATAATAAATTAAATCATAACTAATCGATTTAAATAAGAAAAGTCTCGATTAACGCGTTTTTTTAATTAATGTAAGGATAAAGCATCAAAAGAATTAATTTAATTATTAAATTAACAAAAATTACTTTGTTGTAGACACATTGATCATAAATTTCATGTTGACCCTTTTTTAATTACAACGTCTTATATGAGAAAAAGAAGTTTTGCTATTAAGAATAGGAATGTACGTTAATGATTCTTAAAATATTAAATTAATAATAAAATTTAAATATAACAATAAAATTGATTTAATCAAACATAGATGGCGCTTACCCCACAATTTTTATACATAACCTAAAGTAATCTACACAACGCTAAAATAATAAATTAAATCATAACTAATCGATTTAAATAAGAAAAGTCTCGATTAACGCGTTTTTTTAATTAATGTAAGGATAAAGCATCAAAAGAATTAATTTAATTATTAAATTAACAAAAATTACTTTGTTGTAGACACATTGATCATAAATTTCATGTTGACCCTTTTTTAATTACAACGTCTTATATGAGAAAAAGAAGTTTTGCTATTAAGAATAGGAATGTACGTTAATGATTCTTAAAATATTAAATTAATAATAAAATTTAAATATAACAATAAAATTGATTTAATCAAACATAGATGGCGCTTACCCCACAATTTTTATACATAACCTAAAGTAATCTACACAACGCTAAAATAATAAATTAAATCATAACTAATCGATTTAAATAAGAAAAGTCTCGATTAACGCGTTTTTTTAATTAATGTAAGGATAAAGCATCAAAAGAATTAATTTAATTATTAAATTAACAAAAATTACTTTGTTGTAGACACATTGATCATAAATTTCATGTTGACCCTTTTTTAATTACAACGTCTTATATGAGAAAAAGAAGTTTTGCTATTAAGAATAGGAATGTACGTTAATGATTCTTAAAATATTAAATTAATAATAAAATTTAAATATAACAATAAAATTGATTTAATCAAACATAGATGGCGCTTACCCCACAATTTTTATACATAACCTAAAGTAATCTACACAACGCTAAAATAATAAATTAAATCATAACTAATCGATTTAAATAAGAAAAGTCTCGATTAATGCGTTTTTTTTTCAATTAATGTAAGGATAAAGTATCAAAAGAATTAATTTAATTATTAAATTAACAAAAATTACTTTGTTGTAGACACATAGATCGTAAATTTCATGATGACCCTTTTTTAATTCCAACGTCCAATATGGAAAAAAGAAGTTTTGCTATTAACAATAGGAATGTACGTTAATGATTCTTAAAATATTAATTAATAATAAAATTTAAATATAAGAATAAAATTGATTTAATCAAACATAGATGGCGCTTACCCCACAATTTTTATACATAACCTAAAATAATCTACACCGCAAAAATCATAAATTAAATCATAACTAAGCGATTTAAACAAGAAATGTCTCGATTATCGCGTTTTCTTCAATTAAAGTAAGTATAAAGCACCAAAAGAATTAATTTAATTATTAAATTAACACAAATTATTTTGTTTTAGACACATAACCTATAAATTAAACACAAGATTTTTAGCAACAACCGCAAAAGATGAAATAATAATCCCAAAACGTATAGATAGGGGCCCTACGGATATATTACAAGCCCTTGAAGTTACAGTAAAACGAGATAATAACAGCCCACATTATAAATTTCATGATGACCCTTTTTTAATTCCCAATTCTAATATGGGAAAAAGAAGTTTTGCTATGGCTCAAGAGTCGGGGAGGAAAGCAGCGCATTGGGTTCGGCAACAACACCCAGAATTATTTATGCATTCAGAGGCTGATCCCCCAATTAAAGCATTTCTTGGAAAAAAATTGCCAGATGAAAAAGATTTAAAAGAAAGTGATTTAATAGCAGCGATTAATGATGTAAATGTTTCCGATGCTATTTCGGTTTATAAAAGTTTAATAGGAAATGGGGTACAAATTTCTGATGAAAATAGGCAGAGTTTATTAGAATTATTATGTTTTTATAACTCGAAAGATACCATTGATGCAGCTTTTATTGAAGAACGTTGGTTTAAACAAAGCGAAAAAGGAAAAGAGCGACAAAGAAAAACTTGGACGGATGGAATGTTATCTGAAGAAATTTTTATTGGAATTGAAAACCCCAATGGGGAAGCTTATTCGGCTTTAATACAAGGAATGGCTAAATATTATCAAGTCGATAGAGCTTGGCAATTATTTCAGGAGGCGCAAGAGAAGAATTTATCATTAAACGTTGAAAGTTTTAATGCAATAATTGGGGTGGTTAATTTAATAATGGAAAGTTATGAAAAAAGGTGGACTTTAATTTTAGATTTATTAAATAGAATGCGATTATTAAAGTTAAAACCAAACATCAATACTTTAAATGGTGTTTTGGATGTATTGGGGACAATGGGGACAGGGAGGAATATTAAAGAGTATGCTTTACAAACATTGGCCGAGTTTAAACAGATGGGAGTTGAACCTTCTTTGGGTTCTTGGTGTTTAATGTTAATTATTTTTTGTAAAGATAGTAAGTTTATTATTTGTCATACAAAGAATGTTGTTTTATGGGAATTGTTTTAGGGGGACCAATAAGTACGATTTTGTATGATATAATGAACGAAATTCAAGACAAAGAATTCAAAATAAGACATATTAAAGATACGAATTTTTTTGTGACTGCTATGGATGTTTGCCGGAGACATTTACATGATAAATATTTAGCGAAGAGGGTTTATGATTTATTGTTGTTTGGAAATAATTATGATTTAATTGGAGATTCTTTTAAGGAGTCAATTTTTTAGTAAGTTGAATTAAGTTATGTTAGAAAACCTCAAAATGTAAAAACAATTGCCTTTGCTTTATTTTTGTGAGTTAGGAAACGATTTATATCACAAATTGAAGATAAACCATGATATTTTATGATTTGATATAAAAATTGGGTAGTTAATAATACAAATTTATGGAGAATGTTCTTTAAAAGGAATTAAGTTGAATTAGGTTATGTTTCAAAACGTCAAAATTTAAAGAAATCATCTGCTTTATTTGTGGGAGTACGAAACGATTTATATCACAAATTGAAGATAAAAGATGATATTTTATGATTTGATATAAAAATTGGCCAGTTAATAATAAAAATTTGTGGAGAATGTTCTTTAAAAGGAATTAAGTTGAATTAGGTTATGTTTCAAAACGTCAAAATTTAAAGAAATCGTCTTTGCTTTATTTTTGGGAGTACGAAACGATTTATATCACAAAATGGAAATTAAAGATGATATTTTATGATTTGATATAAAAATTGGCCAGTTAATAATAAATTTTGTGGAGAATGTTCTTTAAAAGGAATTAAGTTGAATTAGGCTACGTTCGAAAATGTAAAAATTTAAAAGATCGTCTTTGCTTTATTTTTGGGAGTTAAGAAACGATTTATATCACAAATTGAAGATAGAAGTTGAAATTTTATGATTTGATATAAAAATTGGCTAGTTAATAAAAAAAATTGTGGAGGAAATTCTTTAAAAGGAATTAAGTTGAATTTGGCTACGTTCGAATACATGAAAATTTAAAAAAATCGTCTTTGCGTTATTTTTAGGAGTTAGGAAACGATTTATATCACAACTTGAAGATAAAAGATGATATTATATGATTTGATATAGAAATTGGCAAGGTAATAATAAAAATTTGTAGAAAAATTCTTTAAAAGGAATGAAATTGTGTGAGGTTATGTTCGAAACGTCACAATTAGAAAAATCGTCTTTGCGTTATTTTTGGGAGTTAGGAAACGATTTATATCACAAATTGAAGATAAAAGATGATATTTTCTGATTTGATATAAAAATTGGTTAATTAATAATAAAAAATTGTGGAGAAAGTTCTTTAAAAGGAATTAAGTTGAATTAGGTTATGTTCAAAACGTCAAAATTTAAAAAATCGTCAGCTTTATTTTTTGAACGATTTATATCACAAATTGAAGATAAAAGATGATATTTTATGATTTGATATCAAAATTAGCAAGTTAATAATAAAAATTTGTGGAGAAAATTCTTTAAAAGGAATTAAGTTGAATTAGGCTACGTTCGAAAAAGTTTAACTTTTTAAAAACCGTCTTTGCTTCATTTTTGGTAGTTAGGAAACGATTAATATCACAAATTTAAGATAAAAGATGATATTTTATGATTTGATATAAAAATTGGCTAGTTAATAATACAAATTTTTTGGAGAAAATTCTTTAAAAGGAATTAAGTTGAGTTAGGCTATGTTCGAAAACGTCAAAATTTTAAAGATACCGCCTTTGCTTTATTTTTGGGAGTTAGGAAACGATTTATATCACAAATTGAAGATAGGAGATGATATTTTTTGATTTGATATAAAGGTTTGTGGAGGAAATTCTTGAAAAGGAATTAAGTTGAATTAGGCTACGTTCGCAAACGTAAAAATTAAAAAAAATCGTCTTTGCTTTATTTTTGGGAGTTAGGAAACGATTTATATCACAAATTGAACATAAAAGATGATATTTTATGATTTGATATAAAAATTGGGTAGTTAATAATAAAAATTTGTGGAGAAAACTGTTTAAAAGGAATTAAGTTGAATTAGGTTATGTTCGAAACGTCAAAATTTAAAAAATCGTCTTTGCTTTATTTTTGGGAGTTAGGAAACGATTGATATCACAAATTGAAGATAAAAGATGATGTTTTATGATTTGATGTATAAATTGGCTAGTTAATAATAAAAATTTGTGGAGAAAATTCTTTAAAAAGAATTAAGTTAAGTTAGGCTACGTTCGAAAACGTGAAAATTAAAAAAAAATTGTTTTTGCTTTATTTTTGGGAGTTAGGAAACGATTTATATCACAAATTGAAGATAAAAGATGATGTTTTATGATTTGATGTATAAATTGGCTAGGTAATAATAAAAATTTGTGGGGAAAATTCTTTAAAAGGAATTAAGTTGAGTTAGGCTACGTTCCAAAACGTACAAAATTAAAAAAAATCATTTGCTTAATTTTTTTGAGTTATGAAACGATTTATATCATAAATTGAAGATAGAAGATGATATTTTCTGATTTGATATAAAAATTGGTTAATTAATAATAAAAAATTGTGGAGAAAGTTCTTTAAAAGGAATTAAGTTGAATTAGGTTATGTTCAAAACGTCAAAATTTAAAAAATCGTCAGCTTTATTTTTATATTAGGCTACGTTCGAAAAAGTTTAACTTTTTAAAAACCGTCTTTGCTTCATTTTTGGTAGTTAGGAAACGATTAATATCACAAATTTAAGATAAAAGATGATATTTTATGATTTGATATAAAAATTGGCTAGTTAATAATACAAATTTTTTGGAGAAAATTCTTTAAAAGGAATNAGTTTAACTTTTTAAAAACCGTCTTTGCTTCATTTTTGGTAGTTAGGAAACGATTAATATCACAAATTTAAGATAAAAGATGATATTTTATGATTTGATATAAAAATTGGCTAGTTAATAATACAAATTTTTTGGAGAAAATTCTTTAAAAGGAATTAAGTTGAGTTAGGCTATGTTCGAAAACGTCAAAATTTTAAAGATACCGCCTTTGCTTTATTTTTGGGAGTTAGGAAACGATTTATATCACAAATTGAAGATAGGAGATGATATTTTTTGATTTGATATAAAGGTTTGTGGAGGAAATTCTTGAAAAGGAATTAAGTTGAATTAGGCTACGTTCGCAAACGTAAAAATTAAAAAAAATCGTCTTTGCTTTATTTTTGGGAGTTAGGAAACGATTTATATCACAAATTGAACATAAAAGATGATATTTTATGATTTGATATAAAAATTGGGTAGTTAATAATAAAAATTTGTGGAGAAAACTGTTTAAAAGGAATTAAGTTGAATTAGGTTATGTTCGAAACGTCTAAATTTAAAAAATCGTCTTTGCTTTATTTTTGGGAGTTAGGAAACGATTTATATCACAAATTGAAGATAAAAGATGATATTTTATGATTTGATAAAAAAATTGCAGTGTTAATAATAAAAATTTGTGGAGAAAAGCTCTTTAAAAGGAATTAAGTTGAATTAGGTTATGTTCGAAAACGTCAAAATTAAAAAAAATCGTCTTCGCTTTATTTTTGGGAGTTAAGAAACGATTTATATCACAAATTGAAGATAAAAGATGATATTTTATGATTTGATATAAAAATTGTGTAGTTAACAATAAAAATGTGTGGAAAAAATTCTTGAAAAGGAATTAAGTTGAATTAGGTTATGTTCGAAACGTCAAAATTAAAGAAAATTGTCTTTGCGTTATTTTTGGAAGTTAGGAAACGATTTATATCACAAATTGAAGATAAAAGATGATATTTTATGATTTGATACAAAAATTGAGTAGTTAATAATAAAAATTTGTCGAAAAAATTCTTTAAAAGGAATTAATTTGAATTAGGCTACGTTCGAAAACGTGAAAATTTAAAACAAAATCGTTTTTGCTTTATTTTTGGAAGTTAGGAAACGATTTATATTACAAATTGGTGATAAAAGATGATATTTTATGATTTGATATGACTAGTTAATAATAATTTGGGGAGAAATTTTTTTAAAAAGAATTAAGTTGAATTAGGCTACGTTCGAAAACGTAAAAATTTAAAAAAATCTTAACTTTATTTTCTATTTTTAGTTCAAAAATAATTAATTTATTAATTTTTAGTCGAAACTATTGCATATTAATGTGCGAAACTGAACCGATAGAGAATTTCATGCAAGATATTTACTTCAAATTTGTCCCAAATATTTATGTCCCCGAACCTGGGGTAANCTTTATTTTCTATTTTTAGTTCAAAAATAATTAATTTATTAATTTTTAGTCGAAACTATTGCATATTAATGTGCGAAACTGAACCGATAGAGAATTTCATGCAAGATATTTACTTCAAATTTGTCCCAAATATTTATGTCCCCGAACCTGGGGTAATGGAGGAAGTTTTAAACATGATTTTATTGAATTCAGCCACTAATTATCTTCCGAAACTTTGGTCCGATATAAAAATCTTTGATATGAATGAACGAGAAAATTTATTAAAATTAGTAACTGAAATTATGATTAAAAATGAAACGGAGGAATTAAAAGCGAATTTTTCTGATATTGCATGGGAAATGTTTAGCGTCCCGGAAGAACGGAAGGAAACTCATACTTCACGTTTAACATTTACAGCTGAAATGTTATCCGATTTAATAACCATACTTTTACGCAACAATGAATTTGAAAAATCAACGATTATTATGGATAAATTATATGGTGATCACCACAATGTTATGGGCGTCCCGAAAATTTCATCAATGATTTCGTATTTAGATCACTGTATTAAGGAAAAATTACCATCGAAAGCAATCGTATTTATTCACTTATTTTTGTTTTATTGGGTTAAAACGATTTTTTTTAGATGTGTATTCAATATTGTTTCGATTGTGGCTTCCCAGAGGTCGATGAGATGGCTGCAAAATTAACTGGGGCTTTAACGTTAAACGAAAAAGATTTGGAGAAGTTATCGAGGATCTCCACAAAGGTTAAAATGAATTAAATAAAATGTTTTCTTTAATTTAGCGTTTAGGTTCAAAAAATAAACAAATTCATAATATAACAAATTCTATTCCATCGAATTAGATCACAATAACACAAAGAATTAATTAATTAATCAATAATAATAATTAACAAAATTCTTTAAAATGAATTAATTTGTATTAGGCTACGTTCGAAAACGTCAAAATTTAAAGAAATCGTCTTTGCTTTATTTTTGGAAACGATTTATGTCACAAATTGGAGATAAAAGATAATATTTTATGATTTGATATCAAAATTGTGTAAAAATTTGTGGAGAAAATTCTTTAAAAAGAATTAACTTGAATTAGGATACGTTTGAAAACGTGAAAATTAAAAAAAATGCATCTTTGCTTTATTTTTTGGAGATAGGAAACAATTTATATCATAAATTCGAGATAAAAGATGATATTTTATGATTTTATTTAAAAATTGGGTAGTTAATAATAAAAATTTTTGGAGAAAATTCTTTAAAGGAATTCATTTGAATTAGACTACGTTCGAAAACGTGAAAATTAAAAAAAAATTATCTGCTTTATTCTTGGGAGTTAGGAAACGATTTATATCACAAATTGAAGATAAAAGATGATATTTTATGATTTGATATCAAAATTGTGTAGTTAATAATAAAAATTTGTGTAGAAAATTCTTTAAAAGGAATTAAGATGAATTAGGATACGTTCGAAAGCGTGCAAATTTAAAAAAATTCATCTTTGCTTTATTTTTGGAAGTTAGGAAACGATTTATATCACAAATTAAAGATAAAAGATGATATTTTATGATATGATACAAAAATTGTGTAGTTAATAATAAAAATTTATGGAGAAAATTCTTTAAAAGTAATTAAGATGATTTAGGATACGTTCGAAAACGTGAAAATATAAAAAAATTCATCTTTGCTTTATTTTTGGGAGATAGGAAACGATTTATATCATAAATTGAAGATAAAAGATGATATTTTATAATTTGATATAAAAATTGGCCAGTTAATAATAAAAACTTCTGGAGAAAATGCTTTAAAAGGAATTAAGTTGAATTAGGTTATGTTCGAAACGTCAAAATTAAAGAAAATCGTCTTTGTGTTATTTTTGGGAGTTAGGAACGATTTATTCAAATTGAAGATAAAAGATGATATTTTATGATTTGACATAAAAAATGAGTAGTTAATAATAACAATTTCTGAAGAAAATTCTTTAAAAGGAATTAAGTTGAATTAGGCTACGTTCGAAAATGTTAAAATTTAAAAAAATCATCTTTGTTTTATTCTTGGGAGTTAGGAAATGATTTATATCACAAATTGAAGATAAAACATGATATTTTCTGATTTGATATAAAAATTGGCTAGTTAATAATAAAAATTTGTGCAGAAAATTCTTCCAAAGGAATTGAATTGAATTAGGCTACGTTCGAAAACGTTAAAATTTAAAGATATCGACTTTGCTTTATTTTTGGGAGTTAGGAAACGATTTATATCACAAATTCAAGATAAAAGAAAAAAATGCAGGTTAATAAAAGTATACAACAATTTAACACTAAATAACAATTAAATCTAGAACTTAATGAGTTGAGGTTAGAGACGCTCATTTGACAGTGACAGTTCTATCATTGTACATAACCTCACTTTATTTTTCTCAGAATAAATATTACATATTATTTAATGTTTTTTAAGAATATACAACTGATAATAATGAGTAGGTTGAAGTGCTTAAACTCCGACTGTTCTAATTTTAATTTAAAGTTTATGTTTAGTTCAAAAATAACAGTTATTTATTGTGTAAGTGTTTTAGACAGCATTTTATTCACGCAAGAATGTTTCTTAATTTTCTTAAGTGAATAAAATGTATCTAAAACACACATTTAGAATCAGAATCGCCAAAATTTCATCTGATGTTATCAAAAAATGATTTGACATTTCACTCTGACAGCGGCTGTCACCTCAAAAATCATTGCAATTAACTAAAAAAGCATTGGGAGGTGTTGAATTATAAGCTGGTTATTAATGGAAAGGAAGTAAAATATGACAAATCAAAGAATGAAATGTCTATTAATATAAATGTTAATATAAATAATAAATAGGATGTGATTGATTTAAGATTGTATTTTTCATCATTTCACTAGTGGAATAAAGTACCTTTATTCCTAGTGGATAAAACTTCAATTATAAGGTGATTGCATAGAAAATAGCTTCGTAGAAATGTTATAAACAAAAACTTCGTACTAAAAATTGAACGCACGTGGCGCCATCTGTTGGGAAAATTTGGAATTATTCAGCTAAGAACCGAACCACTAGAATGCAGGTTGGTTTGGGTTTATTTATAAAAGCTCCAACCACAAAATAACTATTTGGAAAGTCCAAACAGAATTAAACCCAATTAACGTTCCGACTGGTTGGGAATTCCTCAGATGCAATTATTTATGGCAATAATTACACCTAACAAATAATGCCGCCACATTTCAATAACACTGTATCATATGACATATGAGATTGCAACCAGTTATAACGTTAGTTGAAACAAAGCTATAATGTCAATTATAAGCTAATTATTTAATCATACCATTATTACGTTATAATATTCTTACCGAAAAATCACTTTAAAATGACGTTTTCATCTGTCATTCTGAACAAACTTCAACTTATAAAATTTTAAAAGTTGAAGTTAGCGGCAAATTTAAAAATATAACACGAATTTTAATCTATACTTTTTAAATTAAAAGAATGATATTGGTAATAATTGTTATTGCTGTCTCTCATCATTACCACTATTAATAATAAAATTTTTAGTTTAATTAAATTATTTCAGTATAGACGCTAATGCCATCTTACGGTGGGATTTCGACATACAATCAGTCCCAAGTGCTTCTATTAAAGATCCCTGGAGCTGGGTGATTGTGGATAAAATTAATTTATTAATTTTTAGTCGTAACTATTGCATATTAATGTGCGAAATTGAACCGATAGAGAATAAACGAGAAAGATTTAGAGAAATTATCGAGGGTTAAAATGAATTAGATAAAATATTTTCTTTAATTAAGTGTTCAGGTTCAAAAAATAAACAAAATTCATAATATAACAAATTCTATTTCATCGAATTAGATCACGATAACAAAAAGAATTAATTAATTAATCAATAATAATAATTAAAAGTAATTTTCAAAAATTTTTTTTCTTAATACATTGTCTTTTCTTTAATTTCCCCAGATTTACCAGAAATTAAGTTTAATAATAAAAAATAGACTCAACCCCACAAGATTAATTAATCATCATCACAATTGGTTATTAGCGGTTTTGTTGCAATTTTTTTTAAAGCGACTTTTTCTTTAAACATAATCAAAAAGATAACTAAGTGTACCTAAGTAGAAACGAATTTACGATTAAGTAGTAGTATTAAATTTGCGAGCTGAATCTCGGCCTAGCCGGCAAATCACCGAAAATCGTATCACCTTGAATACTTTTCGCCAACGCTTTTATACTAGCTGCGATATCCATCGATTCTTCTGGCTAAAAAAAAAATTATTTTAAATTAATTCGTTTAAGGAGAAATAATTTACCATTCTATCATCATTATCTTCGTTGATATGATTCTTAAACGCTTTTAGTGCAGGAATCGATACTGGCAATGATTTCGCCATTTGCAAACTTTGCCTTCTCGAATTCTGATCGGAATTTCTGGAATAATTCATCGTTGAATCATCTTCGCTTTCTTCATGCTCTGAATCTACGTAGGTTAAGTCTTCATCCATATCTTCTAATTGAAAAAGACCTTCACTATCGAATGAACATGCTTGATTTGATGATAATTTTCTATTAGATATGATTGGTTTTGGTGATGAAGTCTTAAATGATATTATATAATTAAACAATTTTATTTTAATTTTGATTTAATTACAATGAATGCTTGTTTGGTCCGGTCAAATAAAGACAGTCTGTTAGGGCTCTCCGGTGTTTCAGGTACTTGGTTCTTAGACAGTCGATTGCCGAGTGGCGTAGACAACGTTTTTGTACTAACGGTGTTCTCTTTGGAAGCTCTTCGTTTACCCTCTAAGATTTTTCTAAAAAAATAATGTTTCAAAACAAAATTAAACGTGACAAAAATAATTTAATCTTTTGATTACTTAATCTTGTTTTTACAAAAACACTCATCAGATTCAAATCGTAATCTTATTTTTTTAACAAAACCAATAAATTATCTAAATAACTTTTTCACCTGGACAGAACATCATGCTCAAATAGAACTCTTGCTTTGTACTCTTCAAATAACGTATATTGCTGGTCGGAATACTGACTGATTTTATTCTCTACAGCTGCCAATTCGCGACTAATTGACTCATTAGCCCTTTGCATCAAATTGTTTACAATCACTTTTTCATCCGGCGCCATATCTGCGGAAATTAACCCAAAAATTAACGCAATCCTCAAATTTATATTTAAACACTTACTGCTGTATATAGAATTTGATAAATTTTTCAAATTAGTATCAATCATAATGTTATAATTGGTCGAAAAATCAGAGTTCTTTTCAACGGCTTCAATAGCTGCTTTTCGCTAAAACATTACCATATAATTTTACGATCATATTTAGGTGATTTAAATCAAAATTTATATTCTACACATTTTTTTAACACTTTTAAAGTTATAAGGAAAAGATTAAAAAATTGTAGGTTGGCAACGTTGAAATTTGACAATTCAATTAATAAGTTTGTGTCATTTTTTTGAGGTTAATTATTTTAGGTAAAATTCAAGAATCATCATATAATATGACTTAAAAATCGACGATTTTATTTTAATCAATATGAAATGATCCAAAAAACACGTTTAAAATAAAAAGAAAGTGTAGAACTTACGGAAAAATCACATTAAAGTTGCGATGTGACGTTAAAAGCAATGTTAACTGTGCAGATTCCTATTATACCGGTAAATAACTAACCTACAAATTGTTTATTTTATTATAGCCACGGACAAAATCAATCTGATAAACTTTTTATCTCAAAAAACCAAAAAGTTCCAACTTTCAACTATTAATTTTGACGTATTTGTCAACTTCATAAAAAATCCTTTAAAATGAGTCCAAACTCGACATATTTAACTTTAATATTAATGGAAACACAATTATTTCCGGTTTGAAATGTCAACGTCAATTTTGACATATTAGCCATCTTCATTAAAAACCCTTTAAAATGAGTCCAAAGAAGACGCACTTATCTCAAAAAAGTTAGAATAAAAAACATTAAACCCGAAGTTAGCAATAATAAAGATAGCAATGTAATTTTTAAATATTAATACCAACCTTAATTTTTGATTTTTTTTTATTATATTTAATTTTTGTGACAAATATTAAGACATTTTATAAAAATTAAGAATATGTCAAAATGACATTGACATTTTAAATCGGAACTTGCTTATATCTCGAGTAATATTGGAATTAACGTATCGTGTTTGGACTCATTTTAAAGGATTTTTCACGATGATTGCAAATATGTCAAAATTGAGGTTGACATTTTAAACATGAAGTTAGTTATCCCATAAGACAACTTCATGGTGTTCTTTCATGATGTATTCTTTATTAAAAAACCTTTAAAATGAGTCCAAACATGATGCATCTATCTCAAAAAACCAAAAAGCTCGAACTTTCAACTATTAATTTTGACGTATTTATAAACTTCATAAAAAATCCTTTAAAATGAGTCCAAACTCGACATGTTTAACTTTGATATTAATGGAGATACAATCACTTCCGGTTTGAAACGTCAACGTCAATTTTGACATATTTGTCATCTTCATTAAAAAACCTTTAAAATGAGTCCAAAGAAGACGCATTTATCTCAAAAATAAAAAAAGTTAGAATAAAAAACATTAAACCCGAAGTTAGCAACAATGAAGATAGCAATGTAATTTTTAAATATTAATACCAACCTTTATTTTTGATTTTTTCTTATTATATTTTTGTTTTTGTGACAAATATTAAGACATTTGACAAAAATTAAGAATATGTCAAAATGACATTGACATTTCAAACCGGAAGTTGCTTATATCTCGAGTAATATTAGAATTAAACATATTATGTTTGAACTCATTTTAAAGGATTTTTCGCGACGATTACAAATATGTCAAAATTGACGTTGACATTCCTAACTGGAAGTTGACCATAACTTCATTAATATTGAAGATAAATATGTCGTGTTTGTACTCATTTTAAAGGATTTTTAATGAAGATTACAAATATGTCAAAATTGAGGTTGACATTTTAAACCTGAAGTTAGTACCTCGAATTATTGGAAATGTACACTAATTTTTCGTTTATTTGTTTTATTTTGTATGTAAATTTAATTTATGGTAATAATTCGAGGTACTTGACGATCTCGGATATCTAGATTAATGTGATTGATTAATTTTTATTAATAAACAATTTTTACATTTTTTTACGGTACACAAATTTTACGTCATCGTAAAGAAAAAAGTAAGCCCAACGAAAGGGTACATCGCTATTTAAAAAAATTTAAGTCTTATTCCTTACTCACTTGTGTTCTGAATTAAAAACAATTGAATGCAGTCTTATTATGGCAAATAAAGTATTAAACAACGTTTGTATAAAATGTTTCTTTATAAAGCCAACATTTACCGAGATATATACTATATTCCATACATAATGGGCACCCTGTATATGAAATAATTAAACGTATATCTTTTGCTGTAAGCTCTGCCTGACGCGTTTCGGCGATCTACGCCATCTTCGGAGGATATCGTCTTGTTTTGCTAGGTTATGTAGTACATTTATAAAATATTAGTTTCCTTCTTAGATGCTAAAAAGGTCAAAATGCTTCTTGCAACGATTATTTTTAGTTTTTAATAACAAATGGGCTGGATTATTTATTTCTTGTATTATTTACTTATTTTTCTTCTTCTCGAGAGCAAACAAAATGCAGAAAAAAAAAGTTCTAAACTTTCTAAAAAAAGTTTAGAATAGTCTAGAAGAATAGTTTTCAGCCAGTAGCATTGTAAATTGTAATCTCCAAGCACTTAGTAGTGTTTTGGCAGCAGTATATAGTCTTCTGAAAGCATTAAATAGTTTTTGCCAATCATATCTAGCTTTCTCCAAGCAATTGGTAGTTTTTCCAACAATATTTAGCATTTTGAAAGTAGTTAATAGTCTTTTGGAAACAGTATCTTGTCTTGCCAAGCAGATAATAGTTTCTTCCAGCAATATTTAGTCTTCTCCAAGCAGGTCGTAATCTTTTCTAGTAGTATATGGCACTCTAAAAACAGTAAGTAGTCTTATGGAAACAGTACCTCGTCTTTCCAATCAGTTTGTCTTCTCCAAGCAGAAAGTAATCTTTTCCACCAGTATCTAGCATTTTTGAAGTAGTAGCTACCATTTTTGGAGAGCATATGTCTTCTTTCCAAGTAGTTATTAGTCTTTTCTAGTAGTATTTAGCATTCTGGCAGCATTAGGTAGCTTTTTGGGAATAGTTCTAGGTCTTGTGTTAGTTCTGATAGTGCTAGTATAAAACTAGAACTAACATTAGAAATAGAACTAGCCTCATTCCAGCGAGCAGAGAGGATATGCCATAAAGAGAACCTAAGAAAAGAAGAAAAATTCCTAGAAGATGTGCTGCAGAAGAACGGCTATACGATGAGAGATATCAGATAAGTACGACACCAGCCCGTTTTATCTGTCTTCCTTATGTTTCAGGTGTGATGGAGCGAATTGCGAGGCGTCTGAAGAAGAATGATATCGTGGTACGATACGGTATGGTAAACAAAACGCGAGAGGGGCGAGTCTTATGGAAACAGTATCTCGTCTTTCCAATCAGTTTGTAGCTGCTTATTACCACTATCTAGTCTTCTCCAAGCAGATTGTAATCTTTTCCACCAGTATCTAACATTTTGGAAGCAGTAGGTACTTTTTTTGGAGAGCATATCTCTTCTTTCCAAGTAGTTATTAGTCTTTTCCAGCAGTATCTAACATTCTAGGTAGCTTTTTGGAAAGCATATCTCTTTTCCAAACAATTATTAAAGTCTTTGAAAGTAATAAGTAGTCTTGGAAGCAGTATTCGCCTATCCAAGTAAGTCAAAACCTTTAACAGCAGTGTTTAGCATTCTGGAAGCAATAGATATTATTTTGAAAACAGTATCTAGTCTTTTCCAAGTAAGTTGTGGCCTTTTTCTGCAGTATCTAGCATGTTAGAGGCAGTAGGTAACTTTTTGAAATAGTATTTCCTCTTTCCAAGCAGTTTTTAGTCTTTTACTAGCACTATTCAATCTTCTGATAGCAATAATTAGTCTTTCCAAGGTTTATACAGACTGTACAAAAAGTATGGAATAATGGTTCTACAGCCTAAACTTCAACTTACATTAAAACAAGTTTTAAATAAAAGTTACTTGAAACTATTTTGTGCATGTCTTGGCGTAGAAACAAAATAAAAATCTTGACGGTAGTCTGAGTTACGACTGAGTTACTATTTAAAAAACACACTCACCATGTGTGTTTTTTAAATAGAACACCCTGTATATTTTAAGGTTTTTGGTTAAACCATTTTTTTAATGCTTTAAACTGCATAGTTTTTGAGATATTGAAACTTTTATTTAAAAAGATTTGACGCAGCGACAACCAAATTATGGCGTCATTATGGAATAGACATCACAGTTACTAAGATAAATCGCCATAAAAATGTCACTTAGTTTATTTTATTTTAACACTAATTGAAAAATAGACAACTTAAGCCTTGACATCACAGAGATGAGCGGAGCTTATACCGAATCCAAACATCTTCGTTGTTAACTGTGTTGCTAACGATAAATCCCCATATTCAATTTTTCAATTAGTGAGTCGGTATAAGCTCCGCCCACCTCTGTGACGTCAAGGCTTAGGTTGTCTATGCCATAATGACGTCATAATTTGGTTGTCACTACGTCAAATCTTTTTAAATATCTTTTCCATATCTCGAAAACTATGCAGTTTAATGCAGTTAAAGCATTAAAACCTTATGGCATTTTGCAAAACCTTTTCAAAAGGAATCCAAAAACCTTAAAATATACAGGGTGTTCTATTTGAAAAACACACTCACCATGTCGTAACTCAGACTGCCGTCATTATTTTTATTTTATTTCCACGCCAAGATATGCGGAAAACAGTTTCAAGTAACTTTTAGTTAAAACTTTCTTTAATGTATATTACCTGTATATTAAAGGTTGTCTAACAATAAGTTTCTAAGCTGCAATACTTTGATTTTAGTTTGTGGGCGAGGGGCAAGAGCAGGAGTGTTTCGTGACGTAAGTGGCCACGAATTGCGCGCGCATCCTCAAGGTCATGTTTAGCGAGAGTTAAAGTGTCTTCTCTATTTAAACATAAATCTATTACTTCTTTAATTTCCCTCAATTATTTAATTATAAGTGAATTTTATCAAAAATTAAGTTGAATTATTTTCCATTTGACTACCGCTGTTAATTATATACCACACTAAATATTTAGAATATATATTTTTTTAAATATTTTTATTTGTAAGGGCTTACTTGAGTGATTAAAAAAAAATTGTCGATTTTTAAGCAATATGATGATTCTTGATTTATACCCAAGAGTATGTTTAAACAATTAATGCTTTATTTCTTCACAATTAAAAATTCGGTCTAATTAAAATCTTCATACCTACAAAAAGAGATTATTACATCCTGAAAGGGGTTAGTTTTGATTAGTACAAAAAGTTATTGTTGGACTTTTATTATTGCTTGAACTAATAAACAATAAATGGTACAGTCTTGACTTCGTTTTTTAGAATAAATTCCACAAAATCTTGTTAAAAAACTTTTTTATTTCTTGACAACTAAAAATAAGGCAAACAAAAATTGAGGTTATGTTCGACGCTTTTGTTATAATTTATAACCAACTTAAATTTTAAAAAATCATTTAATCGAATCATATATTCCCACATAATCTCGAAAATCAACGCAAAATTATTAATTTATTAAAATAATAAATATTAATTAAAAAATTTAATTTAATTGTAATTCCTGCCATCTAGTGAGCAGTAGCACAAACAATTTTTGACATTTTATTTCATTGCAATTAAACATTAATTTTAAAGTTTTTTTTATGTTTTTCACCTTTATTATAGTTCAAACAAGTACCTTTTTATTCTACATTATGTACTTAGAATAATAATAAATTTTAATCATCAAATTTTGAACCAATATTTTCAAATGTCATAAATGTCAAAAATTGTGTTTATTTTAAATCACTGGTATAATTTAATAAATTTTAGTATCAATAAAAAAAAAGTTACCAATAAATTAGCAGAGATCAAAATTGGATTTCCTTTTTCTTTATGAACGGCATGTGTGTGCAAGTTACAATTGAAACACAAATGTACAGTGTAGGGGCCAACACATCGAGTCGATACAAGCCCAGAGATCTTCGTTGTAACTTTCTGGAGGCTTTGGACCAGTTGGAGATCCTTAAAATGAAAATTGAACAAAATTACAACTTGGATGACTCAAATTTATTGTTTACCTGTTTGAAAAAAGCGTCCGAAGTGGATTCGATTCCCAAACGTAACGATTCCACATTAACCTTCTCAAAGTCACCTGAATCCTTCCCGTTCGTTTCAATAATCACGTTTAAACACTTGCAAGCGAGCATTTTTATTATTATTTATTTAACAACAAATTTAATAAAACATTCACGAAAGAGATAACAGGATTTGCTCCCGTAATAAATAAGTTTTAAGTTGATTTTTTTTTAAAATAATTTGAATCTAACTTTAGATGTTACAATTAATAACTTTTCCCTTTCGTTGAGACCGTATTAGAAGAGTTGTTACACTTCCTCTGTGTGTGTGTTTTATATCCAAGGTAAAAAATAAAAAAAAATCACTCACACATACTCAAAATAAACACACACTCACACACGGATGAGAGGAGACGAAAAAAACTCTCTATTTAGTAGGAGAAGAGGCACAAACCAACGAATGAGGTAATATTTGTTTACTGACGACAGCGTATTTTTTTTTGTTGCTCGTAAAGATTGTAGTGGAACGATCTCGATTTAAAACGGTTATTTTTTTCTTTTTTTAAGGTTGATTAAGGCGGTTTCTGGGTTCGATTCTTCTCTCTTTCGTTTGGTACGTTGTTGCACGTTAGTTTTGGGTTGCCGTTTGTTGAAACCAGTTGAAACGCGTCCAGAATTTAACGACGAACAAAGAACTTTCGGGTTCGGGCGAAGACCGCTTTGTGTTGTTGCCAACTCGGGCAAGGCGCATGTGCTCGTGCACGTTGTACGTCCGCGATGAACGAGAAACGAGGAGGGCAGCCAGCCTCTCGTCCGATTAAAAAAATAATAAATATTAATCTATAAAAAAATAATGATACGTAATCCGCTCGGGTTGAAACGCGATGACGTAAATAACTAGCGCGGTTTGTTTTGTACGAATTTTTTGGCACGTAACACGTTTGTTTGCGCGAAATATTTTTAAGTTAAAAAAAAAAATTTTTAACCGCTAGATAGGCAACCCAAACTACACCTTGATTAATAATTATAGTAAAGCTCTAAAAAAGTATTAGTAAAAAAAAATATTCAAGACGAATCTAATTATCCAAGAAAATCATTCTTTAAAATTAATCTACTAGTTTTAAATGATTTTAATAAATAATTTAAATAATTTAAGTTCGAATAAATAACTACAGATGGCGCTGATTAATCTAAAATTCTTATAACCTCAAAAAAGAAGAATTGTCAAAGTAAAAATGGATTTTGAATAATTAATTTATTTAATAAAAAAAATATTGAGCAATGTGCAGAAAAATTGGGATGTTTACAAGATTTGGATCGTGTACAACTGTTTAGAACACCTTAAACCACCATGTCCAATGCTCTTAACGAACCTTAACCTTTATCATAACATCTAGGATATTAAGAAATACACCCATGTTGGGTTATACAGGTGAGTTACTTATAAGTATCTCAGCGGACGATAGTTGCTGAACCGTTTGAAAAAGAAAAACATTTTTCAGCCACAAACGAAAGTGCTTCTTTCCAAATAAAACATAGTATTTTTTCTTCAAACGTTTCAAATAATACGGCGCTAAAGTGAAATTTACTTTAGCGCCACAACGCTGAAGTACTTTTTTGCTATGTTGATCTTAGTAATCGTCGTTATGCAACAATGACTTACTTCTACTGCGAGTAAACACGCCAACAAAGTTGTCATTTAATGACGTTCGAAGAAAAAAATTATTTTTTGTAATTCGCGACGGTAATGAAGTAGAACAGTACTCAAACGGGTGCTATAATGAGACTCCTTACAGCATTCGATGCTGTAATGAGATTTTAGTAACATTGTATGGAACCACTTTAAGTTGGTAGTAATTTTTCTAGTTGTCAATGTGACAATTTTTGTCTGTGGATGTTTAAACACGTTTTTAGCATCGAATACAAGGTCCATTGATGAGGATATTGAACTGTGAGTAATTTCTTTCTTTTATTTTGGGAGGTGTAGATGAAATTTTTTTTTCAGGTGAATACATTTTGTGTTTTGACAATTACTAATTGTCAATTTAAATTTTTATTTTCAAGTGTTACCAACTGCTATATACCTATTTCCCTACATTGTCAAAATTTATATTATTTTTGTTAAAAAAAGGATAAAAACGCGAATTACAAAAAATAGCATAAAAAACACGTTTCATAAGACTCATTCATTAAAAAATTCGTGGCTTCGCCACTCGTTTTTCAACTTAAATTCATGCATTTTAATGTCTTGCGAACTTGTTTTTTTAATATACTATTCCCTTATTAAATTTGTCTATACAGCCATATACAGAGGCTTTCGCCTGTAGAGGCCAAAATTAGGGGCAGCCGAAACTACGTTCCTCTCACGCATAAAAAACTAATATAAATTAATTTTGTAGTTATAACGACAACCAGAAATATAAGTTTGTTTCCATTCCTTGAAGAAATTAAAAAACTATTAATCACTTATTATCACTCATCATTAAACTATCACTATTAATCTTGTTTTAAATTATGCTGCAGAATCAAATATAGAAATGGTAAATTTTTTTGGAATAATACAAAATGTGTATGATTTTTTTCTGCATTCACTTATAGATGGTTTATTCTTATCAAACATCTGACTGGGTTCTCATGGAAATGAAACTAGAGTAGAAGTACTTCATATGCATTACAATAATTTGGTGTAATGTACAGGATGGTTCAAATTCGATGTCCAAATAAGTTATCTCGGAAACTATAAGAGTTAGAAAAAAAGTAGCTTACATGTCATGCTCTCGTTTTTCGAGAAACTGCTAATGCCAAAAACCTCAAAGCGCTATCGTCTTTTGTTTTACCCCTAGAGGCCAAAATTGAAAATATCGTAAATCCGACAAGTGCAATTATCTTGGTTATTATTATAGGTGGAGTAATATAACTACGACATTATATGGACACTTTTTTACAGAGAATTTGATGACGTAGTCAAAAAAATTTTTTTGGTTTTAGATTTTGAGATATTGCGACAATTTTCGTTTTTTTAAATGGAAATAACCACTGATTATTCGCTTATTAAATTCGTTATTGTTTTCTGATTACAAAAATATGGGGTTAGATAGGTCTATTTCTTATTGTTTTAGAATAAAGCTAAAAATAAACTTTTTTTTAGTGTCGTCAAAGAAATTAAATTTACAGTTTCCTGTAAATTATAAATAAAAATTTAAAAAAAAAACATATTTCTGATCAAGGGCGTAGATAAGGGGGTAATTACTCCCCCCAGAATAAAGAAAAGAAAATGTGTATTTTCGTATATTTTTTTTTAATTTACTACTACTTTAAGGCTTTAGCAATAACTATATTTCTAATTTCTGACGTTAATGTTTATTTTATTTTCCCCCATATACCTTGATTCTAAGCACTATTTGGCGAGCATAACGCTGTAATGTTTCTAAATTACCCCCCCTAGAAATAAAAGATATCTACGCCCTTGTTTCTGATATTTGAAACAAATACATTTGTTGAACTATTTAATTTATATTTGTTTTACACGAAAGTTGGAATAGTTTGATACAAAATACCGCGGTTTGACGCCATTTTGGCTCGAAAGACAAGCGGGAAATTTAAAACTATATCGTTATATTGATAACATTATTAAATTTCCTTTCTTTTTTTCTTGTGGTACTCTGAAGAGTCGAAAGTCCCTCTTAGTGCCATTTTTGCAACTCCAAAGGCAACAAGACGGCTATATTTTTGTAAATAAGTGGTGAGATACAGTGACAAGGTGTCAAACCGCCATTTTGGCGTGAAAACAGGCTTTATGAACCGCGGTACTTTGTGAATCTAGGGAGTTTATATTTTTTTAATTGAGTAACATGTACTATTTCATGTAATTTAGTTGTATTCATAATATGATAAAATAAACAGAGTGTTCCATTTTAATAAATTGACGTACTCTCCGTTACGCTTAAATGGAACACCTGTATAAGTGAAAATAATTTTACGTAATACAGAATGATGAGTCAAACAACTTTTGTACAAAATATTTTTTTGTTTTTCAAACGGTTTAGTAACTATTGACCGCCGGGATACTAATAACTCACCCTGTATATTATATCAATGTTATATTTTCACATTGTCGTTTAACCTACTTTACTTTTGTTTATACAATTAAAACTAAAACTTAACACACCACAGTAAACAAAAATGTAGTTTTGCAAAACAATAACTTAAATTCTAACAACTAGTTTATCTCTAAATCCCTCACATTTAACCCTTTCTAATGGCTTGGTAAAAAAGTCTGCTAAATTATCTTCACTTTTACAATGGATCAATTTAATTGGTATTGACTATATCATGTATAAAATGAAAACGAACGTCAATGAAATTAATAAGAAAGCTGATAAGATATGTCAACTTATTTGGATCCAAGATACAAAATGAACTTCAAATAATGTTTTCTCAAAAACTAAAAATTATTTTTCAAAATGTGTTGGTTTATTGGAAAGAGGACACTTTTATTAACATTTTGGGAAATTTTCATACTCATATTCCAAGAAATGGATTTTATACGAATTTTTAAAACTTAATCGGCGGAAATTGCAAAATTTGAAAAAATGTCGATTACTTCAAAAATTTATTTCTCAACAACTAAAAGTGTTTTTTCAAAACGGCTTTTTGCATTAAAAAGAGGATACTTTAATTAATAATTGGTGATATTTCCACAATGATCCTTCAAGAAATGAATTTTATAGCGAATTTTGAAAGTTATTATATTATTTTTAAATATAAATGTCTTGTTCCATTTTTCGGGTGCTTGTCTTAATCCATACAACGCCTTTTGTTCGCCATACAAAAAAGCCGTTTTTATATCAAATTTTGTTATTTTACATGCTTCTGCAGCATACTTGCTATTGGATTGAATAACTCTTCAATGTGTTCTTGTGGTTGTTCAAAACCTCTTACCACTAATCTGGCTTTATAAGTTTCGTCGTCTTTGATTTTGAATACCCATTTATTACTCAATATCTTTTATACCTCAATTTCTTCGCTTTTTACAAATTATTCTTCTTCTATTGCATCTAGACATTTTTTCTTGTCTTCACCAGTGGAATTGTGAAAAATCAGTGGTTTTCATTTAAAAAAACGAAAATTGTCATAAAATCTCAAACTACTTTTTTTCTAACTCTTATAGATTCCGTTCTTATTTATTTGAACCTTCCTGTACATATAGTGTACAAAATTTTCGTTTTCGATCAAGGAAAACCGTTCAGGCAGTATAATTTAGTATCGAGTAAAAATTTTCTCTTTCTTTAAAATTGATTTAAATTAATAATAATAATAATTAAATAAAAAAAATTAATTTTAAACAATTTAACTTCAAATAATAACATTAAATTTCCTCAATAGATGGCGCTACTATCTTAGATAAAACTAGAAACGAACAATCCTAACCTTAAAATTTAAAAAAATCTAAAACATAAATAAAAATGGATCTAAACAAACTTTTAATCGACGATTTCATCGAATTAAAAGCATCTTTGATTTGTGGATACTGCAAAAATTTACCGAGTCATTTATTAAATCCTTGTGGTCATCTACAATGTAATTGTTCCAAATCAACAAAAGGATGTACAACTTGTTACAAATTAACAACTTCGCAAGATTTAGAAGAAAATCAGATGATGAAGACGATCTTAACATCGATAAAAGCGATTGAAGATATTTTTAAAGGTAATTTCAATGATAACAAGAAAAAATATTGAATCAAATTTTTAGATACAACCCCAAATAATGTTTCAAGTAATCACGAAATTGTTGTTTCTAAAATGGATATGAAACGTAATCATAAAGGTGAAACTCCTTTACATTTAGCGTGCAAAAAAGGCGATTTAGAGATGGTTATGGAGTTAATTAAGGATGGTGTTGATTTTAACATGACGGATTACGCAAATTGGGCCCCAATTGTATATAAAAAAATGTTTTATTTTAAAATAATAATTGTATCATCAACTTTTTTAAGCACGAAGCAGTTCAAGGTAATAATATACCTTGTCTGGAATATTTACTTTCAGAAGGTGCCTTGGTTAATATTCCCGGTGAAAACTACATAACCCCACTTCATAAAGCGGTGTTATTAAATAAACGTGAAATTGCACAAATTTTAATTAACTACGGTGCAAATACAACCATCCTTGATTATAAAGGAAACAAAGCATTAAATGGAATGGAAAATCTTGTTTTATATCAAATATATGATATTACGAAAAAAATCTTCATCAAAGTCCAAACCGTTGTTTATGCAAAGGAATTAAATAAAGAAGAACAAACCAAACTTACAAAAGCTAAAGTTAATATTGTAACTTTTAGTGATTTCATAACCAAATCTGATGTTACTCATTATATTTATGATGGGAAGATGGATATAAATGTTTTAATTTGCTTATTAAAAGGAATATTTATCGTTAAAAAACGATGTAAGTAATTAAATACTATTTTTTTTCTTATTATTATTAATTATAATATAAATTATAGTTATTTGGAAACATTCATGAATCATTATGTGGCTTAAAAATCGTTGACTTTTTATTAATTGATGTGAAATGACCAAAAAACACGTTAAAAATAAAAAGAAAGTGTAGAAAAGTGTAGAGCATATCAAAAAATCATATTAAAGTTTCGATGTGACGTCATATTTTGTGACGTCACAAACAATGTTACTTGTTATTTCCATATTGGATGCTTCATACGTTTTTTCTACAGACTGTGTTTAGTCTTGGTAAAAACTGATCATATCTCCTTTAATTTTGTAAAAATTTTTTGATTCTGATCAAAAAGTGCTATTTTTTCCTAATTGAAACTGATTATTAAACTCTTAATTAATTTCTATTCCAAAAGAGCTATATTTCATATTAGTGTCGATTAGGAAGATAAGTTCTGATCAAAAAAGACTATTTCCTTGATTTCTATGATTTCTATGCAGCATTCAACTCTATTATGGCAAGTGTTAAATTCACTAAGGTTAGTGAATAAAGGTACTGTTGAAATTGATTGATAAAGTGTAAACGTCAATGTGACACAAATTCGATGTTACCAACTGTAACCAACTTCACAACAATTTGTCAAAATTAAATGTCAATTTTATGAAACGTCATGTTTTTTTTTACGAAAATTAATTAATTTATGCTTAAATCATACGAAAAAAGGAATTTGTTTACGTTTTTTTTAATGTCAAACTTTTAGAAAGTCCTAAAAGAATTAAATGAAATTGACGTTTTTTGAAATTTTGACGTTTCAAATAATTATTCAAGTCTATCAAGTTGATTACCCGTGAATAATGATTATTCACCGCTATTATTTATTCTGTGAAAAAGACTATCCTTTAAAAATAATTTTTTTATCCACACTTATGCACCGTGTAAAGTACCACTTTATCCACTAGTGGAATAAAGTTACTTATATGCTTATATTACTTATATTATAATGCTTAAGAGCTTCGCTCTCGCGTTTAAACATTCTTGCGTGGATAAAATGCTGTCTAAAACACTTACACAATAAATAACTATTAATAAATTTTTGAATAAAGTTAAACGTTAATGTGATAAAAATTCGATGTTACCAACTGTAACCAACTTCACAACAATTTGTCAAAATTAAATGTCAATTTTATGAAACGTCATGTTTTTTTTTACGAAAATTAATTAATTTATGCTTAAATCATACGAAAAAAGGAATTTGTTTACATTTTTTTAATGTCAAACCTTTAAAAAGTCCTAAAATTAAATTAAATTGATGTTTTTTAAAATTTTGACGTTTCAAATAATTATTAGTCTGTCAAGTTGAACTGTGAAAAATAACTACCTTTTCGCTTTAGAAAACTCATTTATAAGGTATATATTATAAGGCAGTCATGGACAATAGTTATTTATTGTGTAAGTGTTTTAGACAGCATTTCAGCTCGAGCGTTTAATTTTCTTAAGTGAATAAAATGCATCTAAGACACGCATGCAATACAACGTTTTATCCACAATTTCATCTGATGTTATCAAAAAATGATTTGACATTTCACTCTGACAGCGGCTGTCACCTCAAAAATCATTGCAATTAACTAAAAAAACATTGGAAGGTGTTGAATTGTTGCTATTTATTAAATAAATAGCAACAATAACAATATTTTATTTATTTAAATCAAAGAATGAAATATCTATTAGTATAAATGTTAATATAAATAATAAATAGGATTTGATTGGTGGTGGATTTTATTTTTCATTATTCCACTAGTGGAATAATAGTTATTTATATTACAAGTGGGCTAGAAACATAATTACTGTATGAGTGTGGAGAATTGCACTCATTGTAATCACACGAGTACTGTAATTATGCTCTAGCCCACGTGTGATATACAGCATTTTATCTACGACTGCTAAAAATTACTAAAAAATCAATTTCTTTAAAAAAGTGTATTTGACACTTATAAAAATATTTTGAAATGATTGTTGACAATTTTGAATTGTCAGTTTCAACAACATGTTTACTCATCTGGAATAAGTGTTTTGAAATGTAAGAACATAACAATTAATGTTTATAATAAATAGTATTGTTTCTCTGTAAGTAGATAGCACTTTTTCTTTTGTATTGTTGCTCGTTTCAATAAATTAAGTCTGTTCTGATTAGGCTAAAAATGCGTTACGTAATGAAACCAGTGCGGTAATGAACTTCATTACGTAACTCAAATCACCTCAAATGAGTGCGGTAATGATGACTTATCCAAGCAGTCGTAGATAAAGTAATTTTATTCAACTAGTGGATAAACTGGTACTTTATACGGTTCATAAGTGTGGATAAAACTTCAATTATAAGGTGATTGTGGATAAATACTATTATCTGTGGTGTCAAGTTTTCCCGCGCGGATATTTCGTCAATTAATTTATCGATTTTAACAAATTCATTCAAAAATTCTATAAAACCCGACTGAAACATGGATGTACGTGCCCTAAATAGTGGTGTAAGACATAAAATACGAAAAGATCCCTCCACCTATCGGAAAAAGTAAGTGCCTTTGATACTCTTATTTTTTTCTGTACGAATATTGTGTTTTCTGTTGGTTTCCGCATATGATTTCATTTTATTTCTTCAAAGCAACATACATACAAGCATAGATGTAAAAACACGAAGTCAAAATTCAGGAGTTGTTCAATAACCATTGAGGATGTAATCAAGAACACGTTTCCATAATAACGTTACGAAAGTAGAGCAAGACATCTTTTTAACTAGGCTTTTGGGCCATTCAGAACCTAAAAGAAAATGAAAATCTAGTCCCAGATTCTGTACAAGAAACCGTGCTACTAGTGGTACCTACTATGTAATAAAATTTCAAGGCACAAAGATGCAAAGAGTTTGTAGGTCCTTTTTTATTAAAGTTTTCAATGGTTTAAGAAAAAGGTTTTGATATAAGGTGGAATACCTAAAGAAAACCGCGGCGTTGATAGGAAGTCAAATAAAACAAAGGATAAAAAGGACAGTCTCAGAAAGTTTTTGAATAATCTACCAGCCAAATTCCAAAAAACAAAGACTATATCAGAGTTTCACGTACACTGTTTTATGAAATTTTTTACAAAGAATACAATATTAATTTTAAAACCCCTATATTAGATGTCTGTAGTACTTGGATTCCTAGGAAAAGTAAAACTATTTTTCGGATTCTATGAGGAACCATTGCATTTTATGCTATGATTTGTCAGAATGTGCCTGACAGTATAAGTTTGTGTTTAGTTATGGAAAAAGTGCAACCGTTACCAAAAACTCCTATACAAGATGCATACTATTCGAGACAAATAAGTTTATATAATTTATGTGTTATAACATAATCCTACATTCTTTACATGGTTAGAAACACAATCTGGAAGAGGGTCAGTTGAAGTAGGATTGGCATTATTCACCTTTTTAAAGGACTTGGAAATAACACTTCCTGAACCATATTATGAAATTTATAGAAAACATGGGACATTGAAAGTATGATATCAATGACAATGAACAACATTATAAGAAACTAGTTCAGTAAAAAGAATTATTATAAAATCTGGTTGCAATATTTACACTCACGATACGTATTGTTTTGAAGCGAGGTAACCGCCATTGCCAAACGGTTGCACAATTGCCCATGAGACCTCAAGGTATAAGCAAGAACAAAAAGAAAGATGTTGCTAGCAGCTGGACTGACTTAACGCAGTTATAAGCATATTATTTTTAATCAAGAAACTATAATGATCAATGATGATGTTGAAGATCACCAGCATAATGAATCTTGTGATTGTTTGGAGCATGATGTTGGTGTAATCAAAATATAAATAAATATTCATATGTCAGATTTTTTTATTTACCCTTAACCTATCGTTTTTTACTCTATTCATAATAATAATAAAAGTGCTATATATCTAGTGTTATGTTCAAAAGGTGCTACTTATTTTCATTTCAGATCAAAAGGTTGTGGTTTCAGAAATTCTGATCAAAATGTTTTTAGTAATGATACAAAAAAGATATTTTACCCTAAAAATTTTTTGCTAACAGTTTTATTTGAGTTCGATTTTTAAGCGACATGATGATTCTTGAATTATACCAATTATTTTTACTTTTTAGGGATTAACGAACCCGAAAAAAATGCTTTCAACTTTATCACCGAAGTTTACAAAGAATCCAATAAATCCTCAATTATGAATCGTCTATTTAAGAATCCAAAACTGTTCAATGGAATGGATTTTTTTATTAGTGGCCACTCTCAGCGAAAATTAATTTGTAATATTAAACTAAATAAAGACGATTTAGCCACTTTGGTGCGAACGGGGGGAGGAAAAGTTTTACGAAGACCCCCAATCGTTAAAAGTGCCGATAACGATCACTTTTATTACCCATTTCATGCTTCAAACACTTCTTTAAATACCTGTAGCAGCTACGTTATATATCATGAAGATGAGAAACCACAGTTGATGTATAATATGAGAGAATTAAAACATAGGAGTTCGGAATGGTTAATCGATTGTATTTTGGCGTTTAAAATTATTGATTAAAAATATATTTGTTTTATCTATATTTTTATGTATTATAGATCCCTATAAATTAAAATAATTTTAGTCCAAATAAATAAACATAGATGGCGCTGAAGGTTAACCTAAAAATTGATATAACCTCAAAAACGAAGAAATGTCAGCGAGTAAAAAATGGATTTTAACACGGATATTAGACGTGTTCAATTAGAAAGCTTAGAACAATTTATATTGTCTTCAAAAGATAAGGTTCGAAACGTTTTGGAGGTTCTTAATTGGGAGGATGAAAAAGTTTTAAAGGTGACCATAATTTGAAGTCTATCTAACGATTTAAGCGGTTTTTTTTGTTGATTATATAGGATAAGAAGCTTGTTGCGTGCGTTTTGGATCCAACTCATAAAATACCTCAAAAATCGGCATCTAATCATGTTAAAAAATGCGCCATACGAAAAGAAGGTTACAACTTGGTAGAAGAATTCCTTTCTGAGCCCCAACACCATTCTGAGACTTCCATCATGATAGACAATCAGAAAAAAATCGAAATTCTTTCATTAGCGCATAAAACGCGAGATAATTTCGTTACAAGTAAGTTTTTTTAAGAAATATGTAATAGAAGAATCACCCCCTTTTTACAATCAGCCCCCCGATAATTGCGGACGCTCTTTTTCAGAAATCACAATTATACAAGTACTATACCTTTTACNATCCCTATAAATTAAAATAATTTTAGTTCAAATAAATAAACATAGATGGCGCTGAAGGTTAACCTAAAAATTGATATAACCTCAAAAACGAAGAAATGTCAGCGAGTAAAAAATGGATTTTAACACGGATATTAGACGTGTTCAATTAGAAAGCTTAGAACAATTTATATTGTTTTCAAAAGATAAGGTTCGAAACGTTTTGGAGGTTCTTAATTGGGAGGATGAGAAAGTTTTAAAGGTGACCATAATTTGAAGTCTATCTAACGATTTAAGCGGTTTTTTTTGTTGATTATATAGGATAAGAAGCTTGTTACGTGCGTTTTGGATCCAACTCATAAAATACCTCAAAAATCGGCATCTAATCATGTTAAAAAATGCGCCATACGAAAAGAAGGTTACAACTTGGTAGAAGAATTCCTTTCTGAGCCCCAACACCATTCTGAGACTTCCATCATGATAGACAATCAGAAAAAAATCGAAATTCTTTCATTAGCGCATAAAACGCGAGATAATTTCGTTACAAGTAAGTTTTTTTAAGAAATATGTAATAGAAGAATCACCCCCTTTTTACAATCAGCCCCCCGATAATTGCGGACGCTCTTTTTCAGAAATCACAATTATACAAGTACTAGTTACAAGCTTTACAAGTTTTAAGAACTTTTTACAAGTCAATAAGCGTCATCTATATCCTTTTTTAATTATATCCTTTTTTATGCTATTAAAAAAATTGAATTGAGGGGCTCATTTTTGGGGGATTCATTAAAATTTCTATGGTTTCATTCGTTTTGTTAGGGTGGAATGGACAAGATCCAGATCCAAGAACATCTGATCGACTTCTCACCACTTACAGCTATGATGAAAGACTTGCTCTGTATGATTATGCCATTGCAAACACTAAAGAACCTAACAAATTACCTGAATACAATGTGTAAGTTAATTTAACAAAAAAAGATTAATCCAAAAAGTTATAACCTCACTTTTTTTAAAAATAGTTCCCAACCAAAACGCGATGAATCAAAACCAATGACATACGAAGAGCAATTGGCGTTAGAGCGTGACGCAAAACGACGAAGGATTAAATATAAATCAGTTCATACAAGTCGAAAAACGCATACTGAAGTGCTTAGGGAAGTTATTGAGTCTCAAATGGAGGTGTACCGCGATTGGATTGGAGCTAGAAGTTCAAAAAAAGATGATGGAGAGCACGAAGGGAGGTCGACAAGTAGAAATAGCTCAAATAGCTCAAGAAGTACTTTAAGGAAAGATTTAAAACAAAAAGAATCCAGCGATACGGAAAGTGTCGATAGGGAAAGTTGTAAATCGCGAAGGGGAACCCCCGAAAGGAATAATAAAAAAAGGGAGCGATCAAAAGAATCAATTCGATCTTATAGAGAAAAATCAAATCACGAAAACGTTCAAGATGAGATCAGAAAAAAAGACGAAAGAAACTCAAGAAATGAGGGTTTTGGGAGAAGATCAGAAAGCGAAAGGAGAAGATACAAAGACGACGAAAAAGATGTTAAATATTGGGATAAATCTAAATACTCTCGAAGGAACGAATCAAAAGACTATAGAAATAGGGAAAGAAGAAATGGATACAAAAATTATTTTTGAGTTTTGATTTCATTTTCTTTTTTTTTTTGTAGAACAAAATAAATAATCCAAAAGGAGTTCATTTTTTAACCTAGCTTTTTAGTTTGTCTCAAACAAAATGCAGAATTCAAAAGTAGATTAAAAAAAACATTAAAAATAAAAATAAAGTGCTGAAAAGTGACTAACTTTAAAGTAGATTACCTTCTATTTTAATATGATAACTTCAGGTTTAAAATGTCAACCTCAATTTTGACATATTTGTAATCTTCATTAAAAATCCTTTAAAATGAGTACAAACACGACATATTTATCTTCAATATTAATGAAGTTATGGTCAACTTCCGGTTTTCGAACGTCAATTTTGACATATTTGTAAGCGTCGTGAAGAATCCTTTAAAATGAGTCCAAACATGATACGTTTTATTCCAATATTACTCGAGATATAAGCAACTTCCGGTTTGAAATGTCAATGTCATTTTGGCATATTCTTAATTTTTATAAAATGTCTTAATATTTGTCACAAAAAGAGAAATATAATAAAAAAAAATAAAAAATTAAGGTTGCTATTAATATTTAAAAATTAAGTTGTTGCGAACTTCGGGTTTAAATGGTTTTTTTTGAGATAAGTGCCTCATCTTTGGATTCATTTTAAAAGTTTTTTAATGAAGATGACAAATATGTCAAAATTGACGTTGACGTTTCAAACCGGAAGTGGTTGTATTTCCATTATTATTAAACTTAAATATGTCGAGTTTGGACTCATTTTAAAATTTTTTTTATGAAGCTGACAAATATGTGAAAATTAGAAGTTGAAAGTTCAAACTTTTTGGTTTTTTGAGATAAATGCATCATATTTGGACTCATTTTAAAGCTTTTTAAATAAAAAATACATCATGAAAGAACACCATGAAGTTGTCCATTTGTCTATTATATGATAACTAACTTCAGGTTTCAAATGTCAACCTCAATTTTGACATATTTGTAATCTTCATTAAAAATCCTTTAAAATGAGTACAAACACGACATATTTATCTTCAAT